TTAGCCTCTGCTCCCTGGACAGTTGAGACATCTGCATAAGGATAAAAGTGCTACCTCAGAAATGGGAGGGACTTGTCTGTCTTTTAGATCATTGAGAAGCTGTTTTAAGCTCATTGTTTCCAAGGGCTCAAGGACCCCAGGTTAAAGAGCCCTGTTTCTAAAGCTCAGTTCCCCATGTGTTTCATGTTTCCTGCACGAAGATACCCTGATAATTATCTGTAATGTGCTCTGACCAATAGGATTAAGTCTTGGTATGTTATAGGAAATAGCAGGAGCTGCCAGTCTGTGCCAGTGGGGTGGAGTTCAGACCTTGAATTAAAGCCTAAAGCTAAGGAACAGGACACCAGAGGATGGGATGGGGTGGGATGGGGTGGGGTGGGATGGGGTGGGATGGGATGTGAGAGGAGAAATTGCTTTCAGCGAGTCTGTGGTGATTGTTTTCTAAGAGATCTAGGAGTTGTGCCACAGACTTCCTGATAGGACCAGGTTTTCATATCTCCATCTGTTTTTTGGACGTGGTAACCTCTAAGGCTTTAAAAATCTTCATTCTTTTTTACCTTCAGGCGCTAATCAATCGTGGGGTTAACCTGGATCCCCTGGGCAAGTGGTCAAAGACCGGACTAGTAGTATATGACTCCTCAGTGCCCATTGGTGAGTGTTCCCTGACCAGTAGCCCTTCTGCCTCTGCCCTTCTCCCAGCATGTCACAAACAGGTCCTCCTCTGCAGGTGCTACTCCCGAGTACCTGGCTGGGCACTACATGCTTCAGGGAGCCTCCAGCATGTTACCTGTCATGGCCTTGGCACCCCAGGAGCATGAGCGGATCCTGGACATGTGTTGTGCCCCTGGAGGAAAGACCAGTTACATAGGTACGAGAATGCAGGCAAGAGTAGGCTCTATCTGGTTCTCTGCTTTTGAAAGTAGATGGGGTTGGTGACTCGCTGGTTCTTAGGAAACTGCACAGACAGCTAGCAGAGTGGTGAGGAGTACAGGCTCTGGCTTCGGCCTGAGTTCCAGCCCCGTAGGTGACACTTAGGACCTTGGGCAAACCTTTGCTTTTGTAAAATGGGGTGGCAATTGTGTTTGGGTTGGCTATTATATTATGCTTGGGTGATAAGGGTTGATTGAGATATACTTATAGAGATACTTGGCATAGTAATTAGTTTTAACCATTTTTTTTTTTTATTAAGCTGTTAACACTTAAAAGAAGTGACTTAGTCTGTGGGCCCAGAGAGATATTCAGTAACGATGGAAAAACCCATGTTGATTAGTGTGCTCATCACCAGGGGTCAGTGCAGACTGGGGAGACCGTGCCATAGGCAGTGGGGAGCAGGGCTGATGGGGTGAGACTTCACCTATGGGTTCCTGGGCTGGAGGGTGCTAGCAAGAGTGGGGGCAGAGGAGCTGGCTGCTGAGCACTGACCCTCCCTCCCCCAGCCCAGCTGATGAAGAACACGGGTGTGGTCCTTGCCAACGATGCCAATGCTGAGCGGCTCAGGAGTGTTGTGGGTAACCTGCACCGCTTGGGAGTCACCAACACCATCATCAGCCACTATGATGGGCGTCAGTTCCCCAAGGTGGGCTCCTTCTCTGCATCTCTCTGGGTGTCTTCCAGTTCACCTGCCCCCTTCCTGACATGAATATTTAGACTTGCCTCTCGGGGAAAAAATGGTGCAGGATAGGTGACTAAAAACGGTGATTAACATCCCTTTTCCTCCAGGTGGTGGGGGGCTTTGACCGGGTACTGCTGGACGCTCCCTGCAGTGGCACTGGGGTCATCTCCAAGGACCCAGCTGTGAAGACCAACAAGGTGAGGAGCTGGGGTGGGGGTGGGAATAGCTGAGAGGCTGGGCCCTGCAGAGCAGGAGTGGGAGGTGGAGGGGCACCCAGCAGCTCACCTCCCTTCCTGAGACTTGCCTTTTGGAATTCTGACACTCTCGGGTCTTCGCCCTGGGGCAGGATGAGAAGGACGTCCTGCGCTGTGCTCACCTTCAGAAGGAGTTGCTCCTGAGTGCTATCGACTCTGTCAATGCCACCTCCAAGACAGGAGGCTACCTCGTCTACTGCACCTGCTCCATCATGGTGAGGCCTCTGCATGGCAGAGCAGGGGGGCAGGGCTGGAAGACTTGCTCCTTAGCTCCCTTCAGCTCAGCTCTGCTCTTCCTTCCATTCTGTCTCCCCCACATATCCAGGTGGAGGAGAACGAGTGGGTGGTAGATTATGCCCTGAAAAAGAGGAATGTGCGGCTGGTGCCCACGGGTCTAGACTTTGGCCAGGAGGGCTTCACCCGCTTTCGAGAAAGACGCTTCCACCCCTCCCTGCGTTCCACCCGCCGCTTCTACCCCCACACCCACAATATGGATGGTTTCTTTATTGCCAAGTTCAAGAAATTCTCCAATTCTATTCCCCAGACCCAAACAGGTAAGTGATCTCTCTACCCATCGTCACTGCCTTTGCACTTTCTGCCTTTCCAGACTCATTATAGTGTGACTGTGGGGAAGGGAGGATTTCTGCCATCCTTAGCATAGCCTGAGCTGATTGGATAAGAGACCCCTTTCATGCAACTAGGCTTGGTCCTGAGCTGGGACCCATTGGAGTGTGTGAGAGTGCTCCTGTGGATGCCGGCCTGCTCCTTTATCTACCTAGTGGCTGCACTTGCTCATCACTAAATACGTTCCCAATGCGGGTTGTGGTTTCTCTTCCTTCTTGGCCCAGGGTCACCTTACTGGTAATGGACCTCTCCTGGTCCAGCACTGTCAGCACTGGGTTGGCAGTAAAACTCCTCAGAACTGTCCGTTCTCTGAGCCCATCACACTAATTACAAATTGTTTTCTCGGCCATTTTGAGGAGTCTGTCCTGGATCTCAAGGGGAAGTGTGGGGTTTGCTGAGCTCTGTATGCTGGGATATAATAACCTGGGTTTAGTTGGCAGAGGGAGAAGTGAGCGGCTCTGGATACAAACTGCATGGTTTATTGAGTTGGGTTTTTTCTTTATTAGTAATGCCCCTTACAAAGTCACATCTGAATGTTAACAAAAACCTTAGTTAAAATTTGTTTTAACTTTAAAAGTACGTATTTAATATGTCAGTACTCATTTATGTCTTAAAAGCTTTTTTCTAGTTGTGTGTTAGAATTTCTTGCTATCTGCTGTCCTCAGGGGCACAGCTTCCTTCCTCTAAAACTTTTTGACCCAAAGATGGGTAGTGAACCCTTCTCTTTATTTATTTATTTATTTGTTTGTTTGTTTGTTATTATTTATTTTTAAAAAATATATATTTTATTGATTTTTTACAGAGAAGAGGAGAGAGGGTTAGAGAGTTAGAAACATCGATGAGAAAGAATCATCGATCAGCTGCCTCTAGCACACCCCCTACTGGGGATGTGCCCACAAACCAAGGTACATGCCCTTGACCGGAATCAACCTTTCAGTCCCCAAGCCGACGCTCTATCCATTGAGCAAAACCGGTTTTGGCTGAACCCTTCCCTTTAATGCAGACTTCAAATAGGACTTGAGGCAAGCCAGGTAGTCACTCTTTCAGTAATGTCGAACGCTTGGCCAAGAAACAGTACTCAGGCAGTTTCCTTATTTTAATGACTCTATTTGTCTCCACCACTAACGATTAAGACCCAGTGATGAGGTCCTTTTTCTCACATAACCTGTTTAATTTTAGACCCAGGAAATTCTGCAACATCCACCCCTACAAACCCAGATGTGCCTGACCCAAAAGGTCAGGTGACCCCCAAGCCTGAGAGCAGCAGCAAGCCTGCCAAGAAGGCCAAAGGGGCTGTGAAAGCAGAGCGGCAGTTGCAGAAACGGCAACATCCCAAGAAGACCTCCTTCCAGAAGCAGAATGGTGTCCCCAAAGGGGCAGACTCTGAATTGTCCACTGGACCTTCTGTCACAAAGGTCCAAGCCTCCTCCAAGCTCCAGGGTAACGGGCAGCCAGCTGAAAAGGCCATGGTGATCAGAAAACCCAAGGTGACTGGGAAACTAAAGCAACAGGCACCTAAACTGCAGTCTTCCAAGAAAGTTGCCTTCCGGAGGCAGAATGCTTCTTCCAAGGGCATGGAGACAGAGCTGCCCTCTGGGCTGTCCCTTCCCAAGACTCTGGCCACTTGGAAGCCTGAGAACTGTGTTCAGTCCCAAGGGGCTGAGAAGGCAAAGCAGCAGGTACCGCAGAAGCCTTCCAAGAAAGCTGCCTTCCAGAAACAGAATGGCACCCCCAAGGGACCCCAGACTCCTGCCTTGTCCTCCCTTAGTGCCAGCCGGCCCCCACCAGCAAAGAGGAGAAAATCTCAGCCACTGCTGTCTTAGATGGATGGGTGAAACTAGACTGGGGTGCTCCTTGCTGTTGTCACTGGGTTGGAACTCTTACCTCTGTGAGGATGGCTTTCCCACTGTGCATATGAAATTTAATATACATTTTACAATCTCTGGTCGCTGTGTTTTTTGAGGGAGCCGAGTACCAGCATTGCCCCTTTAAGGGTAGAGGTGGGAGGCTGGGACGGATCCTCTTAAGAGGGGACAGTGGTATACAGAGGAATCGGGTCAGTTTTAGGCTCTTGGGACCCCTGGGACTCCAGGGACCCCGGAAATGAGAGCCCAGGAGTTGGAGGTAGGGTGTTTGGGGAGAGGAGGGAAATAAGGGTGTGGGGAGATGGGTTTCCTGTCACCAGGACCTATGGCGGACTGGAGGGTTGGGCCTTTTGGCCACCCTGGCTGGGATCAGCACAGACGGGTCTGATGCTCAAGAGAAGCGCTGGCTTGTGGTCTGCTCAGCTCTGGGCTCTGCCTCGGACCCGGAAAAGTTTAGGTGCCAACCTCAGATGGAGCATTCCATTGGCTCCCTCTGCGCCCTCCCCCGCCCCCCTGACCTCTGCCCTTTCTGTCGAGCCGTTTGATTGGCTGTCCTGCGTCCCCCGGGCGCCTCATTGGCCCTTCTCCCTCGCCCCGCATCCCTGCCCCTGCACCGGGCTCCATCTCCCAGCAGAAGGCGCAGCCATGAATCCGTTATTCGGCCCCAACCTCTTCCTCCTGCAGCAGGAGCAGCAGGGCCTGGCCGGGCCGCCGGGGGACCCTCTGGGAGGCGACCGCTTCGCGGGGGGTGGGGACGCGAGCCCGTCGCCGCGCGCCCCTCCGGGCCCGACTGCCTACTTGCCGCCTGAGCCGGGCCCCGCGCCCCCCGCCGCCATGGCCCTCCGCAACGACCTGGGCTCCAACATCAACGTGCTCAAGACCCTGAACCTCCGCTTCCGCTGCTTCCTGGCCAAGGTGCACGAGCTGGAGCGCCGCAACCGGCTGCTGGAGAAGCAGCTGCAGCAGGCGCTGGAGGGCGGCAAGCCGGGCCGGCGGGGCCTGGCTCGCCGCGACCAGGCCGTGCAAACCGGCTTCGTCAGTCCCATCCGGCCCCTGGGGCTGCCCCTGGGCGCCCGGCCGGCCGCCGTCTGCACCCCGTCGGCGCGGGTGCTGGGCTCGCCCGCGCGCTCGCCCGCCGGACCCCTCGCGCCCGCCGCCGCCACCTGCCACTCCTCGCCCTCCGCCTCCGCCTCCACCTCCACCTCCGCCTCCGCCTCCACCTCCGCCGCCTTCTCCTCGCCATCCCGCTTCATGCCCGGCACCATCTGGTCCTTCTCTCACGCCCGCCGGGCCGGCCCGGGACTGGAGCCCATGCTGGTGCAGGGGCCTGGCCTGTCCTGGGTGCACCCCGACGGGGTGGGCGTCCAGATCGACACCATCACCCCCGAGATCCGCGCCCTCTACAACGTGCTGGCCAAGGTGAAGCGCGAGCGAGACGAGTACAAGCGGAGGTAGGATGCTGGCTGAGCGTCCTGCCACACTCGGGCCAGGGCAGGTGCGGGGGGAGGGCAGGTGCGGGGGGAGGGCAGGTGCGGGGAGAGGGCAGGTGCGGGGAGGAGGGCAGCTGGGGCCCCAGAATCAGGGGGGACTAACACGAGAGAGTAAGGATGAGCTGAAAGTGGCTAGGTGGCATTGGCTCCCGGAAGCCTGGATCCGCAGAGAATGCAGAAGTCACACCCGTGACCAGAAGGAGACTGGGAGCGGAATACTGTGGGGAATTCATAGATTTCTTCTGACTCATCTTTCTGAGTTCGGAGGAGGGTGTAACGGGGGTTTTGTGGGGTGTGAAAGGGACAGGGGTCTGAGAAGCCACATCAGGGGTACTGCTTATCAGTGTCAGCCCTCGGGTGCTTTTGTGATCTGAGCTCTCATACGGATGGAGAGTCAGAGGCAACAGCTTCGACTTGGAGTCTAACGTGGCGAGGGCGGGCTGCCTGGTGCGCTGGGTGATCCTGCCGCTGCCAGGGCTCCCCAAGCAGCGCTGGGAACGGAGTCTGGGTCCCTGCGCGGTGTGAAGCTCAGGACCGCAGAGCATTGCTTGGAGTAGGTCAAGAAACAAGGGGCAAGAAAGAGTCAAGGGAATTCCCTAGGGAAAGGGGAGGGACTGGTGGTTGTGGGGCTGGTGGGAGGTGGGGAACCTGGAAGTGCAGAGCCAGGGCGGAGGCACTGAGAACAGTCAGCAGAGGAGCGGGGGGGGGGGGGGGGAGGAAGTTGGGAGCGTGGACACTCCCTGTGAATGTGCCGCAGCTGGGGGCAGGCTCGCACCTTCTGAGGATGAAGATTTGGCTTTTTTGCGGGGAACCTGGCGGGGTAGCACACAAGGCCCGGTGGAGGGATGCCATGCTAGAGCGCTGGCTGTGTGCCAAGTGGCTGCCTGAGAGGGTTGGTAAGCAGGCTGTGGGGACAGGGGCACTCGTGCAGTAAGCTCTCTGTGGACTCTGCCTGATGCCAGGGTCAAGGAGGAAGATGACCAACTTTGGTTTGGGGGCCTTCAGCTGTAACCTCCTAAGTAGCTACTCTGACCCCTAGTGGGCAGGCCCGGGAATTACCCTTGCAGCTGAGGAGCGGAGATTTGTCTGAATGTTCTGGGAAGTTATGGGGGTCCAGGGACAACCTTCAGGCACAGTCCAGCCGATCACAGATCCGCATGCTTTCTGAGGCTGAGTTTTGTCCTCATACTGGCGTCCTTAGTTGTAGGCCATGTTATGAGTGTCTCTGGGAATCCACCCAGCCCCAGCCCCAGCCCCAGCTGGAGTTGATTAACGCAGTGAGCAGTGCAACACGGACAATTCTGGAATACCTCTTCAACCACAAGAACAACTGCTGTTCTTAGGGCCATTTTTTTTTTTTTTTAAACTGAAAGAGTGTCCAGCTGTCCAGGCAGCAAAGAGTTATTCCTTGGGGACTGATGAGCTCATCACTCTGCAGCAGGCTGCTGTGCAGAGGGCCCCGCAGCTAGAGCTGTCTGGTACGTGACACTGGCAGTTACTCATCTTTCCCCCCAGGTCCCCTGCCCTCATTCTGTTCTCTTTATAGCAACACCGGCTCCTGCCTGTGGCCTGTGAGGCCTGGCCACGGCTTGAACACTAAGCTGGGAGGAAGCTGAAGCCTCCTGGGTTCTACTTTCAGTTCCCCTCCCTTGTGTGACCTTGGGGGGTCCTCTTTCCCGGCCTCCGTTTTTCCTGGGCAGGAATGGCCCCTGCCTCCTCACTTTACTCAAGGATACCGTTTATCTGGAAGAGAGGTGGTTGGTAAATACAGAACATACAGAAATTGCCCAAATCCTACATATTAAGGGAACCTCTTTAGTGAGGACAGATTTGAATGGAGGTCAAAATGAACCTGTTTGCAGAACAGTCTGACTGGAGTGTAAATAGAATTCTAATGAGCTCCCATGATTTCTTTCTTTGTCCCCCCCCACCTCCCCCCATAAGATTTTATTAGCCTTAATCCTTACATAACTTCCTTACGTAAGTTTCTGCTGAATTTCTTGAATTCACTGTCAAACAGTGCTTCCCCCTTCCTGATGCATGCTGTCCGGGGTTAGCATCCCTCTGTCAGTGGCACCAGGGTACCCCGTCCCAAGCCTTTGTGGTATAGATAAAGAACACAAGGCCAGGACAGATAAGGATCTTGTATAAGAAAATACATACGGGGAAGGACATGGGTGGCAGGGAACCAAAAAGGCTGTGCTCTGTCTGGGCTGCACGCTGAGCCGGCAGGGTGGTGGCTGGCAGGGTGGTGGCCGGCAGGGTGGTGGCTGGCAGAGTGGTGGCCAGGCTAGCTGCCTTCTCTCTGCCCAACTGGGAGGGGCAGTCTTGGTGATGCAGAAATTATTCTTAGGAATACTGCAGTGCGGATGCGGGTGAGGAACAGGAGAGCCAGGCGCCACTGGAGGGAGAGCCAGGGAACGGTGCGAGGGCGAGGTGGGAAAAAGGTGGAGGGAGGGGAAGCAAGGTCTGAATCCCGTGTCTACAGAATACGTTCTCTCGGATTTCCATTTTCTTATGTCCTCATTGCTATTCCCTAACCACCTTTCTGACATTGAAGTTTCTCTCGGTGCAGTACCCTCCTTCCCTCAGGCTGGAAGAATCTTCCCAGAACGTGGCCAGGCCCTAGCCGGTTTGGCTCAGTGGACAGACTATCGGCCTGAGGACTGAAGGGTCCCGGATTTAATTCCGGTCAAGGGCAGAGGCCTGGGCTGTAGGCTCCATCCCCACTGAGGGGCATGCAGGAGGCAGCCAATCATTGGTGCATATACAGCTGCAAGAGCAAGTGCACGTTTCCCTCTCATCATTGATGCTTCTCTCTCTCTTTCTCCCTCTCCCTTCCTCTATGAAATCAATAAAACCATATTAGAGAATGTGGCAAGAGTGGGGTCGGAGAAATCCCGCTATTCCAGCCAGCCTTGTGGGGTGCGGTGTTGCCCCCACTGTTAGCCTTCCATCTCAGGATGTAACGGACCAGGCACCTGCTTACCTGGGACCACCCTGTGTGAGAGGCCTGGTCCTGGGCGGAGACCCTGCCTGAGGCGAGAGTGTTTGCTTTCCTGTTGGTGGTCCTTTTTTTTTTTTTTTTTTAAATATATTTTATTGATTTTTTACAGAGAGGAAGAGAGAGGGATAGAGAGTTAGAAACATCGATGAGAGAGAAACATCAACCAGCTGCCTCTTGCACATCCCCTACTGGGGATGTGCTCGCAACCAAGGCACATGCCCTTGACCGGAATCGAACCTGGGCCTTTTCAGTCCGCAGGCCGCACTCTATCTACTGAGCCAAACTGGTTTCGGCTTTTTTTTTTTTTTTTTTTTTTTAAATATATATATATTTCTTTATTGATTTCAGAGAGGAAGGGAGAGGGAGAAAGAGACAGAAACATCAATGATGAGAGAGAATCATTGATCGGCTGCCTCCTGCATGCCCCCACACTGGGGACCAAGCCCACAACCCAGGCATGTGCAGTTGGCTGGAATTGAACCTGAGACCCTTTAGTCCGCAGGCTGACACTCTATCCACTGAGCCAAACCGTCTAGGGCTCCTGCTGGTGGTCTTAGTCTCCGAATCCTGCGTCCCAGGAGCTGCCACCTGTGGTTCTCCACCCGCTAATTCACGAGACCCTTCCCTCTGGGTTTGGGTGCTTAGGAGGCCCACCTCCTGCTCTCCACGGTGGCGGGGACTCGGGTGGGCAGTTTCTCGGGCGTGCGGGGGTGGACTGAGTGTCTCCTCAGCTCTCGGGCATCCCTGTTGACGCGGTGTGTGTCCTGCAGCTGCTTTTACAGGGTTAAGTGGCCCCGTGCGAGGCAGGGCAGCAGGCTAGAGGAGCCCTGTTCTGGTGCAGGCAGGAGGCGGGAGACCGGATCTGTGCGCTGAAGGTGGGAGACCGGGCCGGGTGTGGCAGGGTGTGGGGGATGAGGCCCGCGGACAGCTGGCTGGGCCGGGGCCTGAATGGGACGGGCGCGTGACGGACCAGAGCAACTGCAGTTGCTCTCAGATGTACCGGCTGGTGTGCGGCCTGGAGGTGCCGGGAAGGCAGCTGGTGCGCTCGGCATTGGCCAGGGACAGCTGCAGCTGGCCACCGCCCGGCCTGCCAGGCGCTCCTGCCCACGGCGCCGCCGCCTCCTCTAGGGACACCAGACCCAGGGGCTGAGGCCTGAGCCACACCCGCGGGGAGCGGGGAGCGAGGGACCGGGAGGGACTCCGCCCCTACGCTCTCGCCTTCTTCCCTGTCTGCCAGGTGGGAAGAGGAGTACACGGTGCGGATTCAGCTGCAAGAGCGAGTGCGTGAGCTCCAGGAGGTGAGGGCGCCCCCCCCCCCCCCCCCGCCCGGGCTCCCCTCCGTCCTCCCCTGTGCCCCGCGGCCCTGGAGCCGGCTCCTGGCCCCTCCTGCCCTGCCCTGACCTCCCTCCCACGCTGGCAGGGCCGCTGACGCCTGGGTTTTCTGTTGGCGCAGGAGGCCCAGGAGGCCGACGCCTGCCAGGAGGAGCTGGCGATGAAGGTGCAGCAGCTGAAAGCGGAGCTGGTGGTCTTCAAAGGGCTTATGAGCAACGTGAGTGCAGCCAGCGCCCCTCGCCCTCTCCCCTGAGGGGCTGGCTCATCACCACCAGGCTGTCCAGCCGGCCCGCAGCCCTGCTGGGTGCGGCCTGTTCATTTCCGGTCCACCCCGCCCCCCACCCCAGATTTGCCCCACTTCCGTTTTTTTCCCTTTGCCACCCGGTGCTTCGGGAGAGAGAGAAGGGACACGGCCCCTGCTGTTGGGGAGGCAGCACGCACGCCCCATCACAGAGCTGGTTCAGCAGGAAGTTAGCGCGCGCCCCGGCCGGCCCCTCGCCAGTGGCCGCGGGCGGATTCCTCAGCCTCCGGCCTCCCCCCTCGTGTGTGTGTGTGTGTGTGTGTGTGTGTGTGTGTGTGTGTGTGTGTCTGTGGGGGGGCGGAAATGCAGGCGTGTACTTTGCAGAATGAGGATGATGATCATAACGCTGAGGACAGGGCACCGTGGTCAGCAGACTGCGGCTCTTTGGCCCCTTTGGCTCTGTGGCTCTTCCACAAAATACCACGGCCTGGGCGAGTCTATTTTGAAGAAGTGGCGTTAGAAGAAGTTTACGTTTAGAAAAATTCGGCTCTCGAGAGAAATTTCAGTCGTTGTGCTGTTGCTGTTTGGCTCTGTTGACCAATGAGTTTGCCGACCACCGGGCTAGCACACACTTGGCGCTAAATAAGTGTTAGCCGCTGTTGTCCTTGTTGCACTGGCTCCACTCTCCTAACGCCCAGAACGTAAGTGCCAAGAGGGACCCCCCCCACACACACAGGCCCCGGGCTCTGGGCCACGCCCTCCAGGGGCCCCCCATCTGGCAGGGAGCCAGCAGCTCAGAAGTCAGCGCCTGAGCCAGACGGAGGGCACTGTGTGGAGGGCACCCCAAGGGCCGCGTGCTGCCGGAGGCCCTGGCGACGGCCTTGGCGACGGCCTTGGCGACGGCCTTGGCGACGGCCTTGGCGACGGCCTTGGCGACGGTGTGCACAGAAGGACGAGGGGGATCTGGCCAGGGGGACCCCTCGGCCCTCGTGCGGCGTGCGGGCTGCCTCTCACTGCTCCCCCGCTCCCTGCACAGAACCTGTCGGAGCTGGACGAGAAGATCCGGGAGAAGGCCATGAAGGTGGACATGGACATCTGCCGCCGCATCGACATCACCGCCAAGCTCTGCGACGTGGCCCAGCAGCGCAACTGCGAGGACGTGATCCAGATGTTCCAGGTGAGCCCGCCGCCTCCGCGCCCCCGAGGGCCCGGGAGGGCCGGGCGGGCGGAGAGCCTCCCTCATGGCCGCCCGTCCTCCTTCGAGGGGGCCCCGGGGGACGAGCCGGGGGGCCAGAGCAGCCTCTGAAGGGAGTTCGGAAGCTGTCTCTAACCCGTCTCTCCCCCTCTCTCCTCTGTCTGCTTCCTCTCCTCTCTCTTCCTCTCGCCTTCTCTGGCTTTCCCCACAGAAGAAACTGGTTAGTTTTGCTCTCACGCAGCTTATTAATGTCCCAATCCCTGTTTCTGAACCACCCAGGCCTCGGCCACCGGTCCTGACCTGCTGGGCTCCTCACCGCAGACTCCTCCCCGTTTCGGTCTCCTCGCTCTCCCCCTTTTCTCTCTTCCTCTCCGCTTCCTTTCTCTCCACCCCTTCTTCCGGCTTCCAGATCTGGACATGCTGCTCAGGTTCTCCTTTGTGAACACCGTATCCTCCTCCTTGCTTTTTTGTTCAGCCATTTCATTAGAAAGACTTTTTTTTTTCTTTTTCTTTTTTTTCTTTTTTTTAATATATTTAATTGATTTTTTTACAGAGAGGAAGGGAGAGGACTAGAGACCCAGAAACATCAATGAGAGAGAAACATCGATCAGCTGCCTCTTGCACACTCCCCACTGGGGATGTGCCCGCAACCAAGGCACATGCCCCTGACCGGAATCGAACCCGGGACCCCTCAGTCTGCAGGCCGACGCTCCATCCACTGAGCCAAACTGGTTTCAGCAGAAAGACCTTTTTTTTTTTAGGGGGAAAAAAAATCCTCATTAGCCATTTGTGCACATCCTAACGTCACCACCAGCCATGTGTCTCTCACCTCACCGCTGTTCTGTCTCTTCTGTTTCTCCCTCAGTCTGCAGCCCTGAGCCTGTCTGTCCGTGTGCCCGTCTGCCCGTGTGCCCGTCTGTCCGTGTGCCCGTCTGCCCGTGTGCCCGTCTGTCCGTGTGCCTGTCTGTCTGTGTGCCCGTCTGTCCGTGTGCCCATCTGTCCGTGTGCCGGTCTGTCCGTGTGCCCGTCTGTCCGTATGCCCGTCTGTCCGTGTGCCTGTCCCTCGGTGACCGGTGCTGTGTTCCTGTCATTGTAACTGTGTCTTCTCTCTCTGTCCGCCCCCCCTCCCCACCGCTGGTCCCCGCTTCTCCTCCGGCCGCCCTCCTCCTCACGCACCCGGCCTCGGCTCTGTAGTCTCTGCACTTGTCTCCCATTAAGGTCCCATCCATGGGGGGGCGGAAGCGGGAGCGCAAGGCTGCCACGGAGGAGGAGCCCTCCCTGTCGGAGAGCGCCGGGCCCCGCCAGCCCGAGGGGGATGAGGAGGAGAGCACGGCCCTCAGCATCAACGAGGAGATGCAGCGCATGCTGAACCAGCTGTGAGTCCTGCAGGCCCCCGCCCCCCGCCCGAGGCCGGCCCCCCCTGACCCGGGCTCCCTGTCTCTAGGAGGGAATATGATTTTGAGGACGACTGTGACAGCCTGACCTGGGAGGAGACTGAGGAGACCCTGCTGCTCTGGGAGGATTTCTCAGGCTATGCCATGGCGGCGGCAGAGGCCCAGGGAGAGGTAACCCCCCACCGGGCCCGGGGCCCCGTTCCGCCCCTCCAGCTCGCTGCCACCCCGCCCCCCCGCCCTCCTCCCCTCCGCGCTCTGCTTTCCCTCTGTGGCCATCATCCTTCACCTGCTTCTCCCTTCTTCTTCTTCTTCTTTCTTTTTATTTTTTTAATTTAATTAATTAATTTTTATTTTTTTAAATTTCTTTATTGATTATGGTATCACATAATTGTCCTCATCTTCCCCCTCTCCCCCCTTTCCCATCTCCCCTTCTTCTTGGCCCTTTACCCTTTTTTTAACGACGGTCGGTTTCCTTTAACCTGACTTTCTCTCTCCCCCTCCTTGGCCCTGGGAAATGACCCCCCTCCCGCCCGGCCCCACCCTTGCTTCCCTTTCTCCTCCAGCAACCGGAAGACAGTCTGGAGAAGGTGATCAAAGACACCGAGTCCCTGTTCAAGACCCGGGAGAAAGAGTATCAGGAAACCATCGACCAGATAGAGGTAAGGATGCCAGTGCAGGCGCCGCGTGGCCGTGGCCCCGTCCTGCAAACCCCAGAACCCCAGACGCCAGGCCTCCCTTTCCTTCCCCCGTGAGCGCCCCGCTGTTGTACCTCCCGTGGGTTCAGACCTCAGGAGGGAGGCAGACAGCTGGGTTCACGTCTCGGCTCTCTCACTTGCTACGACTCTGACTTTCAACAGGCTCCTTAGTCTCTCTAAGCCTGTTTCTTTCTTTCTTTCTTTCTTTCTTTAGAATATATATATATATATATATATATATATATATATATTTTTTTTTTTTTTTTAGAACACACACCTTTATTACATGAGCTAACACAGGAGGGAAGAGGGTTTATTTGCCTTTCCGGGCCTTGATTTTCCTCAAATAGAACTCCAGCTCCTTGCCCTCAAGCACATAGCCATCTGCTCGGCCACACTGGCCTGGTCTTGAAGCGATGCATGCGAGAAGCTCCTCGAGAAGACTGCTGATTTCTTTTTCCTTTCATCGTATTTCTTCTGAATTTTCTTCGATCGTTTTTTGTTCAAAATCTCTTCCTTTTCAGGAGTCAGCTTAGCCCCCTTCTTGCGGCCCAGGGTCTTTAGAATATATTTTTATTGATTTTTTTTTTTCCACAGAGAGGAAGGGAGAGGGATAGAGAGTTAGAAACATGGATGAGAGAGAAACATCGATCAGCTGCCTCCTGCACGCCCCCCCCCCCCTCCATTGGGGATGTGCCGGCAACCAAGGTACATGCCCTTGACCAGAATCGAACCTGGGACCTTTCAGTCCTCAGGCTAACTCTCTATCCACTGAGCCAAACCGGTTAGGGCTAAGCTTGTTTCTTTATTTATAAAATAGGGGTCTTAAGTAATACCCCCTTCAGAGCGTTGCTTGAAGACATAATGAAATGACGTCTGTGGAGCGAGGGCAGTGTCTGTCCGCTAGTAGCATCCCCGTGGAGTTAGCATCAGGCATGGAACCCCCTCAGGTGGGCTTGCTGTGGCCGCGTCTTCAGCTCAGCCGTTGAGCTGATGGGGGGAGCTCTGTTCGCACTCCTCGGCCTTGAGGAACCTTTTAGAGGTGGCGGGTGGAGCCCGTGCTTTTACTTCAACTCCAGGCCGGGAGGGGCTCCAGAAGGACTTGGGGCGCCGGATGGAGGGGTTGCGGGGTGCGGAGGCTGAGGCGACGCTGTGAGCCCTCCTGCCCTGGCCCAGGGTCCTTCCCTGAGCACCGACGGGGGATGAGGCCGGCAGACTCCCGTAATCCTCCGCCCCCTCAAGCCCACGTGGCATGTTTGCCCGTGGTCCTGCTCCTCTAAGCCAAACCTGCTTCTGTTTTTAGCCCAGACAGACAAGTGCTAAGTGTTTATAGTTTCTTTCTTTTTATTTTTTTAAAAATATATTTTATTGATTTTCCACAGAGAGGAAGAGAGAGGGATAGAGAGCTAGAAACATCGATGAGAGAGAAACATCGACCAGCTGCCTCCTGTACACCCCCTACCGGGGATGTGCCCGCAACCAAGGTACATGCCCTTGCCCAGAATCGAACCTGGGACCCTTCAGTCCGCAGACCGATGCTCTATCCACTGAGCCAAACTGATTCGGCTGTAGTTTCTTTTTAAGCTTCACATGATGACTTGGGAGAGAGAAGGGGAGAGAGACCCGCCTTGATGTGAGAGAGAAACATCCCTCGTATGCACCCTGACCAGGGTGCTAACTCACGACCTGGGTCTGTGCTCTGCCTGGGATCAAACCCGCAGCCGCCTGAGCCCGGCGGCCAGTGCTCAGTTCACTGGGTTCACGCCGCCAGCGGAGGGCTGATGGGGAGAGCTGGCCTTCACGTTCCCATTTACGCCTCTCACTGCCTCTTCCTTCCCTGCCTGACTCCCTCCCCTGCTCCTCCCTCCCTCCGTGAACCTGAGTGAAGCTGTGACCTTCTCACCGCACCTTCCCCAGCAGGGGCCTCGGAGCAGTGGTCCGGGCTGCATCCTGCCTGTTCCTTCCCCTGGACCCGAGGGGCTTAGTTTACAACCTGATGGGAAAAGAAGGAAACGAAAATCCTAAGTGGAAGCTTGCTTTTGAAGATGTTTGATTCCTCTGCTCTCCCAGTGGGAGTGCCATCACGGGTGTTAGCAGAGCCCGCGTGGTGGCTTTGTTTGCGGTGTTGCTCCTGGTAACCCATCTGGGCCACCCCAGGCCCCTTTATCTTTGTGACCTTTGATCTCTCAGGGTCAGTGAGGTGGAGGCTTGGCAGAGGCACAGGGTGGAGGGTGGGAGAGAATTCTCGCTCCCTCATCTCCTCTCTTCTCTTCATGTGCTCCCAGCCTTATCCCGCCCACCCCTCCGCGTACCCAGGGGTCTCAGCGTGGGCTGGCGTGGGTTCCTCCTAAACTGTGCGCATCTCCACTTGAATTGTGTGGACCAACGGGGGCGGACAAACATGTAGAGACAACAGGTGGCAGTCCTAGCCTTGTACTGCGATAGAATCTATGTCGGTGATAGAATAGACAGTGGGCAAAAGTAGGTCTACCGAGGAACAGTTTATTCTTGTGTTGTTATTTACGTACTGTGTTACCTTCTTACGAACGTCTGTAAACCTGCTTTGCCCACACCCTGAAAAGAGCAGGTGGATCAGATCCCTCCCTGGCTGGCACAGTCAGCACGTCCTGCTCCTCTGGCTTGCCCTTGCTGAACCCCAGCTGGAACCCCAGCTCTGGAACCAGGCTGCGCTCTCATCCAGGTCCCTGTCCTGACCATCTCTTGCATCTGCCCTGTGACCCACTTACTTCTTCTTCTTCGAGTTCCGTCCTCTGTCTGTCTGCTCAGATTAGCTATGGGTGGTTTCCTCTGCCCAGTTCCCATTATTCACGGCTGCTTTCCAACCCTGTCTCTTTGCTCTCGGGCTGTCAAGCAAATGACCTCCAGGCAGTTTCTTTCTGCCTTGCTTCTGGCCCTGCCCTTCTCCTCCCAACAAAGAGAGGCAGCTGACAGTCTCTGGCCCAGATCTCTCAGCCTCTGCCTCTCAGTCGGGAGGGAGGCCGTATTTCCTGGACTCTGAGCCCCCTGTTTTTCCCACTTGTAACACTTCTGACGTTGGGATACATTTTATACCACTAGGACATTCGGTATTGGCAGCAGGTCTTGCTGTTAGTCTCTGAAATGGCTTACAAGTGAGAAAATAAAGTAAAGCTGGCCCTGGCTGGTGGCTCAGTTGGTTAGAGACATGCCCCAATACCCCAAGGTTGCAGGTTTGATCCCTGGTCCGGGCACACGCAGGAATCAACCAATGAATGCATAAATAAGAAAACAAATGAATGCATAAATAAGAAAACAACTGGATCTCTCTCTCTCTCTCTCTCTTTCTCTTCCTCTCTTTTTCTCTCTCAGACTCTTTCTCAGATCAATAAGTAAAATAAAATAAAAATATCAGGTGAGGGTAAGAATAAATATAAAAAATAGAAGATAATGAGAAAATGGATGGTAAGAGAATTGAACCCTTTTCAACCGTGCGCACAGGTGTCCTCCTCCATGCATGAATCTTGTAGCTGCGTCACAGTTAATCCATTTCCCATCCAGGTCGGCCGTGCACCTGTGTGCACCTGTGTGCACCTGTGGAGCTCAGTAAGGCCCGTGGCCCAATTTAGTGAGGGGCACACACAGGTTGTGGGGAGTGAGGGGTGAGCCAGGCCCTGCAGGAACCCCAGGCAGAGAGTAAGGCCATCCACAGACAGTGTGTCTCCCTCCCCCCCCCCCCCCCCTCAGGAACTCCCTCCCCCCACCCCTCCTGCGGGTGAGCATTCCTTTCCTCTTGGCTCCGGCCAGTCTGTGGAAAGACTGCAGGCCTGGGCAGATGCCTTTGCATTCCTCTGTAGCAAAGACTGCCTGGAAAACTAGAAGGAACGACAGCATCTTGAGAGCCTTCCGCCTCGATCAAATTTATTTTCATTTTATTTTAAAATACATTTTTATTGATTTCAGAGACGGGAGAAGGAGAGAGAGAGAGAGAGAATCATCAGTGATGAGAGAGAATCATTGATTAGCTGCCTATTGCATGCCCCCTCCACCAGGGATTGAGCCCACAACCCGGGCATGTGCCCTGACCAGGAATGGAACCGTGACCTCCTGGTTCATAGTTCGATGCTCAAGCATTGAACCACGCTGGCTGAGCCTGGTTTATTTTATTTTTAAAAATATTTTTATATATTTCAGAGAGGAAGGAAGAGGGAGAGAGAGAGAGAGAGAAACATCCATGATGAGAGAGAATCTGCCTCCCACAAGTCCCTACTGGGGATCGAGCCCACAACCCAGGCATGTGTCCTGGACCGGAATCGAACCTGGGACCTTTCAGTTTGTAGGCCTACGCTCTATCCACGGAACCAAACCGGCCAGGGCTGATTTATTTTTAAATCGGAGCCCTCATGCCGAAACCGGTTTGGCTCAGTGGATAGAGCGTTGGCTTGCGCTCCTAGGTTCAATTCCGGTCAGGACCTTCAGTACATTGGTTGCGGGCACATCCCCAGTGGGGGGTGTGCAGGAGGCAGCTGATCGATGATTCTCTCTTGTCGATGTTTCTAGCTCCCTATCTCTCTCTCTTCCTCTCTGTGAAAAATCAATAAAATATATTTAAAAATAAAATAAAATAAAGATAAACAATATGAATTTGTTCTAAAAAAAAACCAAACACCTTTAAAAATAAATAAATAAATGAATCTGAGCCCTCAGCTGTGTTGCCTGGACCCCCTGGCCCGAGGTGCTCATGGCCCATTTGCCCCCCGGGGGCTGGGAGCAGGGTCACTGCTGACCTGACGGCCCCGCCCTGTCCCTGCCGCAGCTGGAGCTCGCCACGGCCAAGAACGACATGAACCGGCACCTGCACGAGTACATGGAGATGTGCAGCATGAAGCGAGGCCTGGACGTGCAGATGGAGACCTGCCGCCGGCTCATCACCCAGTCCGGGGACCGGTAAGGGCCTCCGCGGAGCGGAGGGCGCTGCTCACCATCCTTCACGCTTCCTCCGAGGGCGCGCTCGGCGGGCAAGACCCTCCGCAGTGATCGTCGCCTCCGGCTGTGGGCCCTCAGGGGAGGTCACCGGGTATGAGGCCCAGTGGGTGTCTGTCCGAGGCTAGTGGGCAGCTGAAACCTCCCAGTGCCACCCATTCTGGTGGTTCCCTGGTGAGAGGCAGCTCAGAACTGACCAGGAACAGAAGGGGTGTGAGGCAGGTGTTTACAGAGAGTCAAGGCCATCGTTTGTGCTTTGACCCTGTAAGTAACACCGCAACAACAACAAAAAGAAAGAAAAAGTCATAGAAATTCTATAAACAGACAGAAGGTGGAGGCCACCCAGTCAGTGCGCTCGGCCCGGGTGGCATTTCTTACTTCAAACATTCCTGGACCCTGAGCCTCCCAAGTCCTCCAGATAAAGAAGGGACGGCTCCCCACCGGCCCCCTCCCCACGCCCCTGCCCGGCACCCACCCTCCCTCCGCGGTCCCCCTGCCCTGGCCCGAGAGTCAAGGCCAAGGGGGAGGAGTGCCCGCCTCAGAGGGTCCCACCCGCCTCAAGGTGACAGCTGGTGTTTTCTTCTAGAAAGTCTCCTGCTTTCACTGCCGTCCCGCCTAGCGACCCGCCACCACCGCCGAGCGAGGCTGAGGACTCCGATCGAGACGTCTCATCTGACAGCTCCCTGAGATAGGGCCCTGCCTCGGGTCCCACCCTGACGGGACGCACCTCGCACCTCCTCGAAGAGTCGGGGTTCGCAGAGGGGAATGTCACTTGTCCGTCTGCACCGAGCCCGGCCCCGGACAGGGCGCCCTCCCTCGGGCTCCCTTCCCTAGCCCGCGGCCTCTCCAGGTTCCAGGGTGTCTGGAGCAAGGCTCTTCCCAGGCGACTCCGGCCACAGCTGGGCCCTCCTGACCTCCCATCTTTAAAACCTGCCAGTGCGACTGTGGCCCCCCCCAACCTCCCGTTGAACAAGGAATGTGATGGTCAGATCCCCCCACCCCTGCGGCCTCGCGCCCGCTCACGTCCGGTTCTGTCCTGGTGCTAACTGGCCAGGTACTGGTATGCGTGGATCAGGCTGGACGCCACGGGCATGTGCAACACTGGCAGTGGGAGAGGGGTTGTGGCAGGTGAGGCAGTGGGGCTGGACAGGGTACAAATTCATTGTCCAAGTGCCCCGGTCCCCTGCCTGTGGACAGTAAGGATGTGGCAAGACTCCCTCCCTCATGAAAATGCCAGATGGAAGGGGTCTCCGAGCCCCTCTGGGTCTGACTGGGTGCAATATCGAGAAGATGGGAAGCTCTTGTCTCCCAGAGACTGAGTGATAAGGTGAAACTATACATGTGTGTACACAGGTGTGTGCGTGTGCTCAGGGTCTCAACGTCAAGGATCAGCAGAAGTGCCTCCTCCGTGTCTGCCACACAGACCAACAGGCAGAGATGTCTGAACTGGGAAAATCTTGGAGAAATTGGGGAGATGGACCGACCTTAGCATAACTGCCGGGGGAGCTGTGTGCCGACATGTGAATGGAATCTTTATTGAGAATGAAACTGGAGAGTATTTATTGAATGCCGCATGTCACTGATTTTTTGAATCCCTTTCCGGCGGTAGCTACACAGTCCTGCGAGGTATGTGCTAGTTCCGTGGTCGGCAGACTCCAGAGTCAACAGAGCCAAGTATCAACAGATTGTAATTTTCGAGAGCCAAATTTTTTAAACTTAAACTTCTAACGCCACTTCAAAATAGACTCGCCAGGCCGAAAACCAAAGTTTCAATCGCACTGAACCTGCCCGCCTGCGCGTGGTATTTTGTGGAACAGCCACGCTCAAGGGGCCAAAGAGCCGGATGTGGCTTGAGCCGCGGTTTGCCGACCCCTATGCTAGTTCCATTTCTTCAACAGGTGCAGAGGCAACTGATGGCTATTAAGTTCTAAGTAACTTGCCCTAAGTAAGCTTCACATGGCAGGCACTGTGCCTCACCCATCCTTCCCCTCACTTCCTAGATCTAGTCAAGGGCCCTTCCTGCGTATCAGGGGAGGTTCTAATTTCCACAGCCCCGATGGGGCTGGAGTGTGGCGAAGGAGAAGGGCTGGTCCTCTGAAGTGGCGGTGCCGGACACAGCACCCAGAGCCTTGGAGGGGAAACAGCCAGAGAGAACAGATGTCTTTCACCATTGTCACCTGGGCACACACGTGGTAAGGGGACGCTTTCAGTACACCGAGGCTTGGCCTGGATGGGGTGAGCAAGGCCCTTTGCTACTCTCAACAAGAGCTATTTCACCTTGGAACCAGCCCAGTTTCTTTCCCCTTTATCCCAGACCCTGAAATAAGACAAATATGCAGAGAGTTGGCTGGGTACAGTGAACTTTATTGATGGTGCACGACAGACAAAGTAGGGCTTCCTACGCCCCTCCCCTTCCTCAGGGGGTCTGGGATGGAAATGGTGGTCAGGAGGTTCTCAGTGTGTCGGGGGACTGATCCGGGCAAGGACTCCCCAGCAGCGGAGGGCCTCTCTTCCTCTTGCTGGGGCTGGTGGTCCAGAGGACTCTTACTCCTTGGTGGCCATGTAGACCATGAGGTCCACCACCCTGTTGCTGTAGCCAAATTCATTGTCATACCTGGAAGGGATGAGGATGAGGTGTTATTTTTTTTTCTGAGCCAGCCACTAGAGGGCGCTAGACCCATAGCCAGTTTTTCAAGCACTGTCCCAACCCCAGGCACCTACGTACCAGGAAACGAGCTTGACAAAGTGGTCATTGAGGGCAATGCCAGCCCCAGCATCAAAGGTGGAGGAGTGGGTGTCACTGTTAAAGTCGCAGGAGACAACCTGAGGAAAGAAGGCCAAGCATGGGAACCCAGTCTCAGTCAGCAGGGCCGTGGACACCAAGCTCCCTGCCTTCTCAGTACCTGGTCCTCAGTGTAGCCCAGGATGCCCTTGAGGGGGCCCTCTGCTGCCTGCTTCACCACCTTCTTGATATCATCGTATTTGGCCTAACAAGGTAAAAAAAACACGATATAGTTATTCAGGTTCCAATGTGGCCACCATTCTAACGGACACCAGCCCAACGCCGCCCCAACCCACACTTACAGCTTTCTCCAGGCGGCAGGTCAGATCCACAACCGACACGTTGGGGGTGGGGACACGGAAGGCCATGCCGGTGAGCTTCCTGTGGACACAGGGAAGTGGGGTCAGTACCAGCTCCTGGTCCCCCCAGACTCCCAGTCCAGAAAAGCAGCGAAGAGCCTCACCCATTCAGCTCAGGGATGACCTTGCCCACGGCCTTGGCAGCGCCAGTAGAAGCAGGGATGATGTTCTGGGCAGCCCCTCGGCCATCACGCCACAGCTTCCCAGAGGGGCCATCCACGGTCTTCTGGGTGGCGGTGATGGCATGGACCGTGGTCTGGAAACATGGAGGACAGAGTGAGGGCCCTGCAAGGTGCTCACCACCCACCCTTCAGCCTCCCTCCTCAACTTCAGGAGAAATAAAGGGATACAGTGAGCCCAGCTAATGCTCAGGAACCCCGATTCTCCACAGCCCCGCCCAGGCTATGTTGTAGAAGAAGGAACCAACCCTCGATGAGGATTCAATGTGCTGAGTCCCTTCCCCCATCACTCTTACCATGAGTCCCTCCACGATGCCAAAGTTGTCATGGATGACCTTGGCCAGGGGGGCCAAGCAGTTGGTGGTGCAGGAGGCATTGCTGAAAAGAGGCAGGCGAGTAAGTCAGGGGCAACGTGACCCTCCTCTGACCGCCACACCATCCAGCCACCTCTCCACTCCCTTCTGCCACGCTCACCTGACGATCTTGAGGGAGTTGTCATACTTCTCATGGTTCACACCCATCACAAACATGGGGGCATCCGCAGAAGGGGCCGAGATGATGACCCTCTTGGCTCCGCCCTTCAAATGAGCCTGCAGCAGAGGAGGCGTTACAGACCCCGAGCTTTGCCTTTCTCTAAGGCAGCTTCTTCCCAACCCCCATCTTCTTCCTGTTATCAACTCCCCCTGCAGCCCTCCTGCCACTCACCCCAGCCTTCTCCATGGTAGTGAAGACTCCGGTGGACTCCACAACATACTCAGCGCCAGCATCACCCCATTTGATGTTGGCGGGATCTCGCCTACAAGGGCAGACAGGACAGAGTTCAGGGACAGGAGCACCATGTGCTCAAGGTGGTCACCCCATCCTAGCACCTTCCCCAAAGCAAACTTATTCCCGTCCTTCCACACTCACTCCTGGAAGACGGTGATGGGCTTCCCGTTGATGACAAGCTTCCCGTTCTCGGCCTTGACGGTGCCTTTGAACTTGCCATGAGTAGAATCGTACTGGAACATGTAGACCTGGACGGACAGGCCAAGGTGTCAGGGGGCTGCACGGCCATCAGCCTCTGCTTCCCACACCAGCCGCACAGACAACAACTCACCATGTAGTTAAGGTCAATGAAGGGGTCGTTGATGGCGACAACTTGCACTTTGCCAGATTCCATTGCAGCCCTGGTGACCAGGCGCCCAATGCGGCCGAATCTGAGGGACAGAAGAGGTGAGAAGGCATGAGGAGGGAGCTGAGAATTCTGTGTGAGTAGTAGCCTGTGGCCCGCCTACCTTATTTCAAAAGGAAGACAGGGAGTCCTTTCCTGCCACCAGAAAGCCCCCAAAGGTCTAATGTATCTTCCTCCAGCCACCCTGACTCAACAGCATGGCCACCAAGGAAAGGCTTCTGTCTTGTCCGAGAGGTGATTAGGCCCCAAAACTAGTCCAATCCCCAGTCCTCTTTAATAATTGTTTTAGAATGTTCAGAGAATCTTTAATTTCTCTTTCTCTTTATTGTTTAAAGTATTACAGATGTCTCCCCCTACTGATTACCCCCCCATCCCCATGAAATGTTGCAAGGGACAGTGCAGGCCACTCCCACTGCCAGTCGCAGTCTGGCACATGGCATTCCTCACCCCCACTCTCTGCCTGGCTAAGGCTCGCTCCTATCTTGTGTCCAGCTTGAGGCCACACCCCTATGGAGCAAAGGCCTGTACACTCAGCATCACCAAGCTCAAAGGGCAAGAGTAAAGGCCTGACGTTAACTGGATGGGGGGGGGGAGGGGGAAGAACCCCACCTCTTCTCTGAGCTCCTCCTACAAAAGGGATGACCTGTTTCCAATTCCTAAGAACCAGGTTCTGGTTGCTAAGCTACCTATCCTTCCCCCGCTCCAGCAGAAATCAGGCAGCAGGAGCAACAGATGTGTATGCGCGGGCCAGGCGGTGGGATAGCAGCGGCCAGGCCCCCTGCGGCAGAAAGGTCAGGTGCTATATTTAACCCCCGATTGGGGTAGCCGGGATCTGGTTTCCGGAAGCTGGAGTGGGGAGAAGGGCAGGGTTCCCGAGGCTTTCAGACACCCAATCCTCCCAGTGACCTTTACAGCCTGGTCCTGAGGGCCCAGTGCGCTCCAGGCACGGGTGGAAGGAGTTTGGAGGGCAGCTGGGGTGGAGAGGGGCTGCCGCCGCAGCAAGGAGCCATCTTATGGTGGAAAATTTCTAGCTACCATGACTCAGCTGCCCTTGCATGGCTCTGCGCCACAGCTACCACACCTCCCCCGAAAGAGGGGAAAAAGGGACACAAAAGGGCCCCATTTCTGACTCGTTAGAGCATCAGCCGGGCAAAGCATCCTCTCCACGGGGGTATCTGCGGGCAGGCTCAGGATGGTTTAGGGTGAACGGGGTCCGAGGTCCAGCTCTTCGGAGAGAGCACGGGAAGCCTTGCCTCATCAGGTTTACCGGATCAAGGCGACTCCACCCCACCGCGGCAGGAGGGTTAGTCATAGCCAGGGGAGGAGGAAGGCTGGACGGAGGTAGGGGAGGTTTCCTAACGGCCATTCATTCATTTCCTTCCCGCTTGCAACATGGCGGCGAGGCTACCGCAGAGGAGCCCGCCCAGCTGCACCCCCGCCGGGCGGCCAGGTGGGGCCGAGGAGGGGGAGGGGGCTTCCCCCTGGCACGTGACCCCGCAGGGCGCGAAAGAAGAGAAAAGGGGAATGGTCCAAAGCCTAGCATGGAGGGCTCTCCTGCTCCTCCGGGGCGAAGGTTCCGGGCGGGTTTGTCCCCGCAAGGGCGGAGGTGCAACAAATGCAAGGGGGGGGGCAGAGGCCCTCTGCGGTCCGAGCTCTGACCTTGAGTTCTCCTTGGGGGTGGGGGTGGGAAGCCCCGACCATCTCCCCCCCACCCCCCACCCCCCCCCCGCGCTTGCAGAAGAGGCTCAGGCAGGGCAAGACCTGCTGACCCCTAAACTCACCCGTTCACTCCGACCTTCACCATCGTGTCTCAGGGTTGTGGCTGCTGGAAGGAGGGTGAGCATCAGGGCGCGGGCCGGAGCGGTTCCCTCCTCTCAGCTCCCTCTCCCCCTCCCCCTCCCCCAGCCACCATCCTCTCCCTGCGGCTCCGCACGTCCCCCTCCGCCATCGCACTGTGGCGCCCCCCCTACCCCCTCGCACCCCGCCGCCGCTGCACCCCTGCACCCCGGCCCGCGTGCAGCCCCTTTGGGATGCCCCCAGCTCCCGGGGGCGCCCCCTGCTTTCCTCTACCTGGCACGGCACGGGAGGAAAGGCTGTCTGACGAACTGGAGGAGCAGAGAGCGCCAGGGGGAGGCTGCAGCCGCAATTTATAGGAAGCAGGCGCGGCGGGGGCGGGGGTGACGCGAGCCGCTGCCCGCCCAGTCCCAGCCCAAGGGCGCCGAGGCCTGAGCTACGTGCGCCCGTAAAACCTCGAGTAGCCGCGCCCCTCTCTTTTCTTTTGGACCCGCCTGGCTCTTCGCCTGTGCACGCCTCGAGCATGTGGGCCGGGGGCGGAGGGGGAGGGGACCGAGAGTGGCCCCAGGGCGGAGGTGCCGGTGCAGGTACCGAGGACGTGCCCGTGGGCATGCCGAGACGGTGGCCTCGGGGACCGGGGCCCTGGCCAGACCCGAGTCCACGCAGGAGCCAAGGCGCTCATGGTGCAGGGCGGATGGGACGGCAGGACGGGGAGCAGGTGGGATGGGGACTTGGGGTTGGAGCCCGGGGCGGCTGCTGGCTGCACGAGGCCACCCCGTTCCCTTTCTTTCATTCACAGGCGGGAGCGGGAAGGTTGAGGAGCTTCTCGAGGGTCTTCGGTAGTGACATAGGAACAGCCGAGGGACAGGCCGGGAGGGGCCACTGCACCCGCCGCGGGGCCCTCTCCCAGCCCCCCTTCCTATTCCTCCCCTTCCTCCTCCCCGTCCCCTGGCTCCGGGCCTCTCTGGGCCGGGGGCCTGGCTGGGCACTGAGCTGCGGGGCCGGAAGGGAAGGAGGCTGAGGGGGAGGCATCTGCGCTGAAGGTCACGCTGTCCTGCAGCTCGGGCAGCCGGGAGACCTAGTAATTGGGGCAGACACACCGGGCCCTGTATGCAGTGCACCAGCGGCTCTCCCCCTGGCCTTGCCCGGGCCGAGGGCGGATGGATCGCTGCTAGGGGCCACCCACAAAGTCGCTCCTGGGGAACTCAAGGGCTGTACCGCCCAGGAGACAATGCCCCTTTCACCCACTCCAGCCCAGGGCAGAGAGCGGGACGTGAGGGCGGAAGTCCCTCCCTATCCTGGGACGTGCTGACCAGCCCGGAGCCAGGGACTCTCCTTCACTGGCTGTGCCCGGGAGATGTTGGGGGCAGGGCGAGGAGTTTGGAAGAGGGGAAAGATAGAGAGGGCCTGGGCACCTGGAGGGAATAGGTAGGGGAAGGGAGCCCAGTGGGTCAGTAGCCCAGCTGAGCCAGGTTTGGGCTGACGTTGGAGGGCTGGTTCTGAGCACTTGAGAGGGAGGAGGGTTGAGAAGGGGGTGGGGTAAAATGGACATTGCCCATCGACAGGTGTGGGGGGGACGGATCTGGAGCCTCTTTGCTGGCCCAGCATAACCTGACACCAGCCCCCTTTTCCAACAAAAGCCTGGAGCTAAGTTTAGCTGGTGATAACCTTTGCTTAAAAGGCAGAGAGGAGGCGGTCCTGAACCCCGACTCCAGCCCCAGGCCTTTCCCTTTCTGGGATTGCCTGCCCTCCAGGCAAGCCAAGGCTGTGTCCAGGCAGCCATCAGCATGGGTGGTGCCCAGGCTTTTCCTGAACAGCAGATCAGGGCCAGAGGGCACCTAATGTTGAGAGGAGGTGGGAAGCCCCACACTGCAGAGTGGGCTGTGGCCGTGGAGATGCAACTGCTACTGCTCTGCCGGGACTACCAAACCGTCTGGACAGGGACTTGAGGCCCTCCATGCTCCTGCTCTACCCAACCATGTGTCCAAGGTACTGGCTTCTTCTGCCTCCATTTTTTTAGTCCCATTAAAAAACACACAAAGGGAGCTCAGTGCCCACTGGTGCAGTCTGTTGTCATGACAGCAAAGACACCTGTGTCCTCAAGAGAGCTAGCTCAGCCTCCATTTCCAGGTGACTCAGCGGAGAACTGGGAGGTGGGGATAACAGGCTTCAGGTGGCTACACTAGCAGCACCTGCCCCTTAGGGGCTGACTTCTTGCAGACCCGGTAACATGGGGAGGAGTCCCAGGTCCACAGACACTGCTTCGAGAGATTGTCTAGAGCTGGAGGGGATCGTGACCTGACTTTCCCTCAGCCAGGCCAGGCACCTGTCTAGAAAGGACTAGTGAGCACAAGTGGGGGTGGGGCCAGGACACAGGAAACCACCTTTGGCCTGAGTAGGGATTTTCAAGCTCAGCACTATTGATTGACATTTGGGAGCAAACAATTCTTTGTTGTGACATCTGTCCTGTACATTGAAGGGCATTTAGCATCACCCCTGGCCTCTGCTCACTAGATGCTGATAGCACCCCTCCCCTCTAGGTGGAGATAACAAAAAAGGTCTCCACACATTGCCAGATGCCTGCTCGAGGGCAAAATATCACCCTCAGGTTAAGAAGCACAGAGCTGGAGGCCGGACCCTGCCCGTTCTCCACGGTGGAGCCATGCTGTCACTGTGCAGGGTAGGGAGGTTGAGAAGGGAAAGACGAGGCACTGAGGAGCATGAGTTATCAGTCCTTGAGATGGGCCCCAGTACCCCTGGGCTCCTCTCTCTTTCTGGATCAGTAACACCACCTGCTGCCTGCATCTGGCTAATGTGAAAGATGAAACAAAGACATGCTTAGGAAAAATGTCTAAAAGTATAAAAACATTTATTCATTACAAACAAGGAGACTGACAAACAGTCTAGTGAAAGCAGCTCGACTCACTTCAGTTAGGCTGGCTTAAGAGAAATGCCTTCCATTATAAAAACAACTTACATATTAAAAGTCCAAAGAGACAGGCAAACAAGTATTTTACAAGAGGAACGGAATTCAAGGTCACCCCACAAGAGACCCTACACAGCAGGGATGGGAACAGGCAAGCCGATCTCTAGGACCTGTGCTTTCGAGTAGATGCTCGGCGGATGGGGGTAGTTTTCTTCGGTGTCTCATCCTCCGTCATCTCTGCTGAAAGCTCTGTTCCAATTGGAGGAACGAGAAAAAGCTGAGTCACAAAGATGGTGAGCAATAGATCTCAGGGAACAAATGGGATAGGCCCAGCCACACTCGCCACAGAATAAAGTCCAAACTGTACAGGGATTTCAGACGCTGGGGTGGGGGTAGTGAGTGGAGAACCTACACTGCGGACCCCCATGGAAACCAGTCCCCACCCCCCAGGGCTGTCTGTGTCCCTCCTAGGCCTGCCTTACCTTCCTCGCTGGACTCATCACTCGAGAAGACGATTTTGAGTTTCTTCTTCCTAGTTCGCTGCTGGGCGTTTGGCTGCCGCCGGGCAGTGCGGCGGGGCTCCGGGGTGACAAAGTCGTTGTCTGAGGCTGCAGAAGCCAGATGCTGGTGCCTAGAGACTAGAAAACGCAGAAGCATGTGTGAAAGGAAAAAAAAGAAAGAACCTCTATCTGAGCGGATGGCTGGGCTGGTTCCTCCACCCACGGGGCCGCCTCACATACCAGACTGTTTCTTGGCTGCTGGGGTTTTCAGGCTATCGCCTTGGCCAATCTCGAGTTCCTCTATCGCATCCAACCCTCGTGTGTGACAAGCCCGAAGCTTCTGCTCAAACTCATCTATTACAGCCTGGAGGGAGAGAGAGATTGCGATCAGGCTTGGAAATAGTTATTTCTATGATTAAATAGAAACAAGGCCATGAAGACATGGTGAAAGCTTAAAACTGGAAACGTAAAAAGGTCAGTGGTTGCTGCTGGGAGTTGGGGGAAGGGGCGGGAGAAAGCGGTGCATGGGGAGCAGCGGGTTTTAGGGCAGTGAAGCTATTCTGGATGATACTGTAATGGTAGACACAGGCCATTATACATTTGTCCCAAACTATAGCCGTACAAGCAGCAATAGTGAACCTAATGTAAACTATGGACTTTGGAGGACAGTGATGTGTCCATGGAAGTTCATCAATGGTAACAAATGTGTCACTCTGCTGGGGATGTTATGATGGGGGAGGCTGTGTGCATGTGTGGGGGCAGAGGGCATATGGGAAGACTGTGCTTTCTACTCAAGTATGCAATGAATTTAAAACTGCTCTAAAGAAAAAACCTATTAAGAAAAAAAGAAAGAAACAGAAAGATCTGGTCTCAGGTCTCCCTGGTTACTGGGCTGCAGTCACGCCGGGATGAGGAAGGCAGTGCTGTGGGGGAAGAGCACAGAACGCCAGGCTGCACGAACTATCACTGGAACGCAGCGGAGCGGCTCACCTTGCCCTCGGGCTTGGCTCCTCGCCGCAACTTGCCCACAACTGACAAAAAAGCACTGAAGACGGACTCATCTGACAGTTTATCTCCGAAGCATTCAAAATTGTCCAGCATCTTGCGGAGGCCTCGCTCTGTGAGGGGCAGCTGTGACACGCAGTAGGCCAGGTCCCGGTACTGCCGCTCGGTTCTGCAGACGGAAAGGCCTTGTGAGGAGCATCGAGACAGAAGGAAAGGTGCACCGCCCCACCCCCCCCCAGCTCCAGGATGCTTTCTCCCGCAGGCCCCTCAGCACCCAAAGCCTCAGGAAGGCGGCATACCGGGCCGTGCGGAACCGCTGACACAGCTTCTCCACCAGGCTCTCGGTCTGCTTGTCCTTGGTGATGTAGGAGAGCAGCTGCCTGCGGGGAGGTGGGATGCCGATGGGCTATGGCCTGGGCAGCTCAATATCCACCCACCACCACCAGCCCCGCCTCTCTCCTAGCACTGGCCCCTGTCAATCTCTTGCCTTAGTAGAATCTTCTCTGCTGTGGCCCACACCTACCCCACTATTCCTTCTGCCTTCTCCCAGACCCCAGACAAGGGTCCATCCCACTCTCCTGAGGAATTTTCACTGTGAAATGTAAATTTGTAACAAAAACAGCTGCCATCTAGTTAATACTACGGGCCTACTACCGTGCCAGGAACGTATCTTACCGAATCTTCTCGTTTACCACCCCATGTATGGTGGTGGTTCCGTTAGATTATAACGGAGCTGAAATATCCCTACCACCTATCATGGCTGTCATAACATTGAAGCACAACACATCACTCGTGTGCCTGTGGTGATGCTGGTGTAAACAAACTCACTACTCTGCCAGGTGTATACCATTCACATACAATTATGTACTGTACATAATGTGTGATAATAATCTGTTATTGGCTAATGTATTTAGTGTATTATAGTTTTAATCATTGTTTATTTATTAAATATATTTAGTTGATGTCAGAGAGAGAAAGAAACATCAACGATGAGAATCATCAATTGATTGCGTCCTGCACGCTCCTCATTGGGGATCAAGCAAACAACATGAGCACGTGCCCCTGATTAGAACTGAACCTGGGATTCTTCAGTCCACAGGCTGACACTACCCACTAAGCCAAACCAGCTAAGGCTAATCATTATTTTAACGTATACCCTATTTATTAAAAAAAAAGTTTGCTGTAAAACAGAATGCCGTTACCTGGCAGCAGCCACACGCCTCTTGTGTTTACCATGTACTTGGCTGCACCATTCTCTCTTGTGCTGGATTTGCCCTCACGTGCTTTTGCACAGGAACATGCTGTACAGGCTTGTAGCCTAGGAGCAATGGGCGATCTCATATGCTAGTAGCCTCGGTGTGCAGTACACTATACCATCTAGGTTTCTCTAAGTGCACTCTGATGTTCACTTCACACAATGATGAAATTGCCTAACAATGCATTTCTCAGCCAGAATTCCTGTCAGGTGACACATGACTGTGCAGGTTTGATTGATTCCTAGGCCTGTGCTAGGTGAAAAAATATGCCCCAAGGCCCAGGGAACCATACTTCATGATGGTGTGAAAAGCCTCTTCCTTCACCCCTCCCTCAGGGTCTGACAGGCGGCTGATGATATCTGGAAGCAGGTTATAGATTGCATTGCCCTGTAAGAGAGAATCACGTTAAAGGCACAAAGTGACCTACATGTTCCCTGGGCAGCAAACCCCAAGCCTCCTCCCTGCCTCTCACCTTGTGGGAAAGCTCATTGAAGAAGTTCTTGGCCAGGGCAGCGATCTGAGGCACAGGGTCAATGAGCAGCACAGCCATCTCGCTAACCTGTCCTTTCACCTTCACCATGTCCTTGAGGATCAGGTGGGTCATCACCAGCCCTGCTGTTTTCCGCACTTGCTGAGCTGGGTCCCGGAGTCTAGGAATAAAACCTGTTACTGGGACCAATACCATGGGCTACACCCTGACACTAGTAGAAACTAGTAACCCTTCTTGATTCTAGAAGTTAGAAAGCTGACTAGAGTTGAAAGGTGGAATTGAGGAAAGAGGTCAAGCTTTAGCCAAAGCTTTAGACAGTTAGTCAGTCTCTTTGAGGTCATACGTAGCCAGGGCCTGTACAGGTCAAGTACTAAGCAGATATTCCAGGGAATCCTAAAGACCAGGGAAATACAGCTTTATTGATTCTCATACTGACTTAACTAGACCGTCCCAGAACTGGCAGGACTGCTCACATTGTGAAGGATCTCTTACCGAGCATACAGATGAGGTGTCCAGGGGTCCACCAGGTTGGGGAAGCGGATGGCCAGATCTCCAGTAGCAATCATGATGTTAGACCGGAGAATGGGGAGCGAGGACTTTTCTAGCATGGTGAACAGAAGACGAAGCTGGGAGTCACAGAAAGTGGCACTAGGGGCAAGGAGAGGATCATCAGGGAGCTCACGCGATCTCCATCCTCCTTGAGAAGGCGGTACCAAAACCTGGGTCTACCTGATCATGCAGAACTTGCCAAGGGCAAGCGACGCAGCTGCACAGAGCTCTGGATTGCTATAGAGGCCAGGGTTGTTGCAGACTTTAAGCAGAAGTGGAACAAAGGCAGCCAACATCTGTTCGCCTATTGGGAGAAGAATTCTAGGTTAGGGATAGGTTATCTCAGATGGGGAGATGGTCACTCAGCAATTCTTCTTACCGCCTAACAGTTCCATCTCACAGATATTGCGGATTAGTTCTGCCTCTGTGTCATCAGCAGTGGCCCCAACCAGTCCCATCTCTTCCTCCATGGTGGTCTCAGTGCTTGTATTCTAATGGGAAAGAAGCCAGGGATTATGGGTGATCAGAGACAACAGTTTTTATTCCAGCCTAACCTTCATTTTGCATAAATAAATCTGGGAAAAGGCGAATTCTGAAAAACCATTCATAGAATTGTCTGTAGAGGAAGGATGGCCAAATGGTAAATAGACGGATCACGCCAGACAATGGTTCAAGGTCATAGAGAAGGTCAGACCTTACCCCACTGCTGCAAGGTTGTGTTTTGTATGTCTGCAAGACATCACTGCCTCTAGTGGAGAGAATACAAGGTCCCCGTCAGGTGGCAGGCCCAGTCATGAAGGCTGATGGGTGTGTGCATGTTCTAACCAACACTGCCTCAAGCAGAGCCTCTTCTTTATGCAGAGCATCTAACTAAGTGCTCTGTATTTACACAAAACTTTCGTGGGTGATCACGGACAGATTGTTCCACCTTTGTTCTCACTAATCTCAGAATAGTAGCAGCAAGGAGGCAGTGTCATCTTCATTCCATTTATTAGTAGGGAAGAAGCAGAGTTCCCAGAAGGAAATGAGAATGACCTGAGGTCATGAAACAAGTCTGGGAAATGCTTGGGACATGAACCCAAATGCCCAGGCGCTCCTTCACCTTCTCTTTCGGCTCTTTGGTTTTATTTTCTTGTTCTTCCCGAAGAACTCGGCGACGACAAAGCTCTCCACTGACGGCCTGTTCCAAATGTACCAGTTGCTGCAGAGCCACATCCCCGGCCAGGGATAGCAGGTTCATCAGCAGGAAAGTGGGGAGCATGGGGGTCTCCTCTGCGGGGGAGGAAAGGCAGGAGAAAAACACATCATCAGTCTCATAGGACTCTGCCTCCTGTTTTCACCGATCTTCTTCTTGCTCATGCACTACACAAACTAGTGAAGCAAGAGAAGAGGGGGGGCTAGCGGTGATGACTGGTCCAATGTGAGTGACAAAAAAGCGAGTGTGGGCTGAGGGGTCAGGAGTTGTAGGAAGTGGTGGCGGCAGTGGCTTCTGGCCACTGGGCCCATCGACCTCTTGCCCACTCACTCGGATCATCCTGGAGGGTGCTCTTCTCCACGAGCTTCTCCAGGGCCTGCTTCGCACATCTCTGCAGTATCTGGGCACAGAGCACCTCGGGGCCCTCTGCCAGCTGGTAAATGAGAGTCACAGCCACCTCTTTGAAGGGGATCCAGAGTGGGTCTGGGTGCACAAAGCCTGCACAGGAGAAGAGAGACGTTGCTCACCACAGACAGAGGATTTACTTCTGCCCAAGGCCCTTCAGGATAGCTCACCTTTTGTGACCAACTCCTGTAGTCGTTCAAATAACCTATGTTCCTGCGGCAGCCGGAAGGGAGGGTGTCGTTTGCCCAGGGAAGGCTGTTGGGAACAGAAAGACAGCATGTGGGTGTGTGGAGGTGGATAAAAGAATCCCCAACCCCCTTAGTTTGGATGTAGCCACCCTACATACCTTTCTCCTGTCAGAGATGTTGGCAATGGCAAGGCACACCTGTTGGGCCAGCCTGTAGTCCTGTGGAAACTTCTCTTCCAGCCCTAGGCTCACCAGTGTGTCTAAGTTGCTACCCACAATTTCTGGTTTTCCTCTAGGGGAAGGAAACCATAGAATTAAAGCTCGTCATGGACAGGACTCTGTGTGGGACAAAGCCGGGCGTAGGTAGGTACCTATGCCCCACACAGGGCTTCCAGAGTCATGCAACACTAGAGGCTCTGACCCAGGCCGCCCCTCAGAACCCCTCTTTCTCTACTGATGCCACTATTTCTCCAGGCGGGGTGCTGGTACTTTCAATACCTTATTTCCCATGTAGGTAGCCAGCTCAAACAGGGCTCAGCGGGGCTTGACTACTATTACTGAAGGATAGGGCGCCTTCTCAGAACCTCCCTTTCCTCTCTCACCCGACTGCCCGTCTGGATTTAAGCCTTACCGTGCCATCATTCCAAGAAGCATGACTGAGGAACAGCGCTCCAGAGGGGAGCAGGGGACCTTCTCAGTTGCCCGCTCCCACAGCAGCTGGGTCACTGCTGGTTTCAATTCATCCTTCTGCACAAACTCACAGAGCTGAAGAAAAAAAAAAAAGGCTGAGGCTAAAAGATAACAATTGCCCTGGTCCTTGGTCCACTTTCTGCAGAGAATATGGAGAACAATAAAAAGCAATACATGTCTAAAATGGAAGCCTTTCTTGCCTTTTCATTTTGCCAGTGATTGGTACCAAAACTCTTTTAGTCCCATATGCTTAAAATTTCGGTTACCTCATTTTTTAAAATTTATTTTTTATTGATTTCAATGAGGAAGGGAGAGGGAGAGAAATGGAAACATCAACGATGAGAATCATTGATCAGCTGCCTCCTGCATGCCCTCTACTGGGATTCGACCTGGGCATGGGCCCCTGACCGGAATTGAACCTGGGATCCTTCAGTCCACAGGATGACGCTCTATCCATTGTGCCAAACCAGCCAGGGCAGTTAATTGATTTTCTTATTAATCAGTCACTTAGTCCTACTTATTCTTCCTTTAACATTTGTCTTCCAAAGTTCAATTCTATAGTTATCCCTCCCATTCCCAGGGCCTAGCCCTACCTTGTCACTGTACACCAAAACAGCCTCCAGGGACCTTCCTGTTCCTAGTCTCTGCTCCAACCAACTTGTATGCTACTGCTGGACCAGTCTCCCAGACCCACTTCCTAATGCCACACCATGGCTGTCAATTAGAAACCTCTCTCTTTGCCTACTTCAGGGGCTCGGACCAAGAGCCAGAACATGGGCTCTCGGGCCAGTCGCCACCACCAGGCTCTTTTCCTCTTCCAGCAGGGAGACAAACGTGGCTGGCAGTAGTGCTCCTGCCAGTGGAAGCTGGTGGTCCACAATCCAAATGCTGCAGGGCAGATTTGTCTAAAATGCTGGGGTCAGCCAAAACAGGTTTGGCTCAGTGAAAGAGCGTCGATATGCGGACTGAAAGGTCCCAGGTTCGATTCCGGTCAAAGGCATGTACATTGGTTGCGGGCACATTTCTGGTGGGGGATGGGCAAGAGGCAGCTGGTTGATGTTTTTCTCTCATCAACGTTTCTATCTCTCTCTCTCCCTTCCTCTGTGTAAAAAAATCAATAAAGTATATTTTTAAAAATAAATAAATAGCCGAAGCCGGTTTGGCTCAGTGGTAAGAGCGTCGGTCTGTGGACTGAAAGGTCCTGGGTTCGATTCCGGTTAAGGGCATGTACATTGGTTGCGGGTACATCCCCGGTAGGGGGTGTGTAAGAGGCAGCTGGTCGATGTTTTTCTCTCATCGACGTTTCTAGCTCTCTCTCTCTCTCCCTCCCTCTCTGTAAAAAATCAATAAAATATATTTAATAAATAAATAAATAAATAAATAAATAAATAAAATGCTGGGGTCACTGGCTAACAAGATTGAAGTCCTGGACTCTGGAAAAGTGTCCAGGAACTTTAGTTTGGATGGATCCAGGGACAGTTTTTTTTTAAAAATATATTTTTTTTATTGATTTTTTACAGAGGGGAAGAGAGAGGGATAGAGAGAAACATCGATGAGAGAGAATCATCGATCAGCTGTGTCTTGCACACCCCCCACTGGGGATGTGCCTGCAACCAATGTACATGCCCTTGACCGGAATTGATCCTGGGACCTTTCAGTCCGCAGGCCGACGCTCTATCCACTGAGCCAAATCAGTCTCGGCCCAGGGACAGTTTTGTTCCAACTCACATTCCCAGCTTTATCGTCTTTTCCAGATAACAATTTTGAGCCGGAACATAATCTTCCTCATTTTACAACATAGACTGTGTCTTTTCTTGGCTGTCTGGAATGCTTAACTCCTTTCTCGAATTCTCTAAATCCTACTTACCAAGACCCACCTTCAGTCCTACCACCTTCAGGAAGCTTTCCTTGCCCATTCCACCTCACACTGCTCTGTCCCACTCTGCATTCATCAGTGTAATATATGTTACGAGTGTGTTTTCTGGAGCTCTTCTGCCTGAGTTCAAATCTCAAACTTTGCCACTAATTAGCTATATATAGCCAAGTTCTTTAATTTCGTTGTTCCTCAGATTTCTCATTGTAAAATACAGTTAATAGAATTACAGCACAGGATTGCTGTGAGGATGAAACATTTTAACATGAGAAAAGTGCTAATAGTGCTGAGAATGTACAATTTTATTATATTACTTCTAGTGGTCCAACATATGAAATCATGTGCGAGTAGGGTCCCTAGGCCTAGCCTGTGATCAGGGCTATGTTCACACCCCACAACACGCGCCTCCGTTGCCCTGCGACACTCCTTGCACCTCCATGACGCTCCCTGTTCCATGACGCTCGCAGCCGCAGCCCAGTGAAGCTCTCCACAGTTGCCCCATAATGCTCCTCGACAGTCACTGCTGCTCAAAAGTTCCCAGGCCTGCCCCATCGCCATCCCTCCACCCCCGTTTGCTGTGGTTCCCCATCTACCATGCTGTGATCAGAGCCTGTGGGACAGGGGTGGTGGGGAGGGACCAAGAGGTGGTCAGTGCACCTCATGGCAACTGGTAGAGTGGTCGTTCTGATCATTCTGCTTATGGTTCTGTCTGGCCTTTTATTATATAGAATTGCTATTAAACTATAACCATTGCCTTGGCTGCATTGTTTGACAAGTGGTTTTACCAACTAGACTGTTGGTTCCTTTTAAGTTGGAAACTTGGAAGCAAATAGTCTCATCCTTTGTGGGGCTGAATAAATTGCTGAACACACAGTAATCACTAATATTTGTTGAATGAATAAAGAAAGAGGAAGTGAGGAGACTTACAATTTCCTCAAGACATTGAATTGTCCCAACTGAGGCATCCACTAGCAGCAAAGAGAGATTCTGAATCAAAACATGGGCCTTGGCTCTGTGGGAAGAACAAAGAAGATTGATACACTGAACCCCGTAAACAGGTGATTAGGGTTATTTTCCCCCTCCCCTGGGCCAATACTGCTTAGGATGGGTGTCACTGAAAGGTCAGCCCCATCCTGAGCTGCCATATAGACCTACTGTTTACACATTCAGAACTCCTCTAGAAGGATGCCCCCCAATTCTTAGGAGACTAGAAATAATGAGAAGCTGACCTTAGAAAAGTCAGCAAAGGCAAAAGTACCCCACATACCTGGCAGAGTCCCCTTTGGGGTTGAGGTAAAGTTGGCGGTAGGCATTAAGCACAGCTTCCCGGATACCAGGCTCCTTAGACCAGATGAGAGGCAGCATGCGGCGTACCCCAAACAGGGCTTGAGGTACTCCAAACTGGAATGCCATCACAAAGAACTCAATCACCTCCTGTACCACTGAGAGAACACACAAATGTCACCATGTGCTTGGCAAAACGGTCCTCCTCCAAAATCAAGACATAACTTCCTTCCTTCCTTCCTTCCTTCCTTCCTTCCTTCCTTCCTTCCTTCCTTCCTTCCTTCCTTCCTTCCTTCCTTCCTTCCTTCCTTCCTTCTTTTTTTTTTTTATAAGATATTTTAATGATTTTGTACAGAGAGGAAAGGAGAGAGATAGAGAGTTAGAAACATCGATGAGAGAGTGTCATCGATCAGCTGCCTCTTGCACACCCCTTATTGGGGATATGCCCGCAACCAAGGTACATGCCCTTGACCGGAATTGAACCCGGGACCCTTCAGTCCCCAAGCCGACGCTCTATCCATTGAGCCAAACCGGTCTCGGCAAGACATAACTTTCTTGATGTAGCAGCACGCAAGGAGGCCTTCCTCATTTTCTGAGACTGTTGTCTCCTATAACGCCTTATCATGAAATACTATATGCATTAAAAAAGGCAAGCTCCATGGGGCTATACAAAGCAAATAAAAAAGAATTCCTTCTATATAGCAAGCAAACAAATAAAAAGGATTTTTTTAAAAAAATTGATTTTGAGAGAGAGGAAGAAAGAGGAAGATAAAGAAACATCGATGTAAGGGTGAAACACTCATCAGCTGCCTCCTATACATCCCTGGGATTGAGCCTGAAACCTGGGCATATGCCCACCCGGAATCCAACCGGCAACCTTTTGGTGTATAGGATGATGCCCAATCAACTAAACCACACTGGCCAGAGCAAGAATTCCTTCTTTTATTTATTTTAAATATGTTTTTATTGATTTCAGAGAGAGGGGAAGGGACTGGAGGGATAAAAACATAAATGATGAGAGACAATTACCAATCTGCCTCCTGCATACCCTGCAAAAGGGAACTGAGCCCACAACTGAAATAAAATGTGACTTCCTGGTTCATGGGTCAATGCTCAATTCACTGAGCCACATAGGCCAGGCAAGGATTCCTTTCTTTTAAAGGAGCAGCTAGGTAACAATAATATATGGACAAAACTGATTTTTCCAACCTCAAGACCTGTCTTTACAGAAAGGAACTTGGCATACCACACCTGTGGTTGTGTTTTCATACATCATCTTGCTGATGATGCCAATGGACTCTGTAATCTTCAGAGAGAAGTTATAAGCATCTTGCAGATACTGCACTAGCATCTCTTGCTTCACCAGTTCATCCTTGCCCTTGGATTTCTCAGGCTCTGACACACTGGGATTGTCTTTACTGTCAGTCTGTCCTGAGCCCACGTTCTCTGCAGATGTCGGGGGACTCTTCTCCTGTGTGGAAGCTGATGCACCTAGGAGTTAGAGAATGTTCAAGATGAGGAAATCCAACATCTATAACATCCTGAATATTTCTTTTCACCAAAAAAGGTACAAGTTTAGAACCTATTCTAAAATATCAGTTCATTTCTCAAGAAAAAAAAAAAAAAAAAAAAAAAAAAAGATTTCTGGAGTTCTCAGTGGTTTGGAAATACCCTTTCACAGCCTGTTACTACCAATCTTGACCCTTGGGCTGCTTCCATTCCAGAGCAGAAGCATTGCCAACTCCCCGTGGGCCTCTCTTAGCATCAGGTTCTGTTAGGTAGGCCCATGTCTGGCATAAAGTAAATGGTCCATGGAGGGAGAAACCAAGATGGCGGCTTAAAGTAAATACCTGTAAGTGCCGCCTCTCACAACCATACCAAAAATACAACTAAAAGACAAAATGACTATCACCCAGAACCACAAGAAAGCTGGCTGAGTAGAAGTTCTACAACTAGAAGGAAAGAGAAAACCGCATTGAGACCAGGTAGGAGGTTCAGAGGCGCAGAAAAGCAGAGATATGGAGGCACGCGAATGTGTCTGGTGGCTGGGTGGGCTGTTTTTTTCCAATTGAAAGGGAGATACAAACCTCCAACTGCTCTAAACTCCAGTTTCTGGCGAGACTCTGGGGACACAAAATCTCTCTCTCTTTTTTTTTTTTTAAATACACTTTATTGATTTTTTTACAGAGAGGAAGAGAGTAGGATAGAGAGTTAGAAACATCTATGAAAGAGAGAGAAATCGAACAGCTGTGTCTTGTACATCCCCTACTGGGGATGTGCCCGCAAACAAAGTACATGTCCTTGACCGAAATCGAACCCCGGACCTTTCAGTCTGCAGACCAACGCTCTATCCACTGAGCCAAACCGGTTTCGGCAAGGGACCCAAAGTCTTACAGGGAGAAACTGGACTGTCTGGCATTAGGTCGGAAAGTGAGGGTGGCTTTCTCGCAGAGGTGCTTGCAGGAATCATTGTTTACTGCACTGGGGCAAGGGACACGAGATGCAGAGACAGCTGACTGATATGACCAGGTGATTGCCTGAGACCCCACCCTGCCCAATTTACAAACCCACCCAAGTTGTGCACAGCGGCTTTTGCATACGAATGGCCTGCCCTTCCACAGCTTAACTTAACAAATTGCATCTACATCAGAGAGCTCTAAAACTTCCAAACCACAAACACAGAGAAGAAATCTGCACACCTCGCTGTAGCTCCTGCTGGGTGGCCTCACTTGTACCTCCTTGGAGATCCAGGAGCCAATGTATCTAGTGGTCAATGTGAGACGATACCAGATTTCAACTCCTCACATACATAAGTGACACACTCAAGAAGCAGACTCAGTGAGCACCAAAGCCTCACTGAAGCAAATCCTGCCCCATAAAGTTGTTTCTAGCATAACAGTTCTATTATAGATACAACTGATCCTCACAGCCAATTGGCCTGGAGGTCAATTCCTCCCAGTGTACCAACAGCAATCAAGGCTTAACTACAACAAGACTGTGCACCCATCCTACAAAGGGGTGCACCAAGAATGTCCACCTCAGGTGATTGGGGAGGCTGAGCCACTGGGCCCTACAAGTCACCTACCACACAAAGCCACTCCATCAACACAGGGAAACAGCCAAAATGCGGAGACAAAGAAACATGTCATGGATGAAAGAAATGGAGGAAAGCAAACTACAGAATATAGAGTTCAAAACCACAGTTATAAGATTACTGACTAGTCTTCTAGAAACTTAGTAAAACCTAGGAGGAACTTAGTGAGACCTTCAAGAATCTTTTTTTTCCTTTTTAAAAAAATATATTTTATTGACTTTTTAGAGAGAGGAAGGGAGAGGGATAGAGAGCTAGAAACATTGATGAGAGAGAGACATCAATCAGCTACCTCCTGCAAACCCCCCACTGGGGATGTGCCCGCAACCAATGTAAAATGCCCTTGACCGGAATTGAACCTGGGACCTTTCAGTCTGCAGGCCAATGCTCTATCCACTAAGCCAAACCGGTTTTGGTCCTTCAAGGATCTTAATGAGAATGCCAAAAAAATAGAAAAGGACCAGTAAGAAATTAAGCACACACTGTCTGAAATAAAGAACAATATACAGAAATCCGACAGTAGACTAGAGGACCCCAAGAATCAAACCAAAGATCTGAAATATGAGGAAGCAAAACACTCAACCAGAAAAACAAAAAGAAAAAAGAATCCAAAAATATGATGATAGTGTAAGGAGCCTCTGGAACAACTTTAAGCGTACCAACAACCGAATTATGGGGGTGTCAGAAGAAGAGAGAGCAAAATATTGAAAACCTATTAGAAGAAATAATGACAGAAAACTTTTTCTACCTGGTGACAGAAATAGACTTACAAGTCCTGGAAGTGCACAAAACCCCAAACAAAAGGAATCCAAAGAGAACCACACCAAGACACATCATAATTAAAATGTCAAGGCCAAAAGACAAAGAGAGAATCTTGAAAGCAGCAAGAGAAAAACTGTTATCTACAAGGGAGTACCCACACAACTGTCAGCTGATTTCTCAATAGAAACTATGCAGACCGAAAGGGTGGCAAGAAATATTCAAAGTGATGAAAACAAGATCCTACAATCAAGATTACTCTACCCTGCAAAGCTATCATTTAGAATTGAAGGTAAAATAAAGAGCTTCACAGACAAGAAAAAGCTAAAGGAATTCATCACCACCAATCCATGATAATATGAAATGCTGAAGGGTATTCTTTAGGAAGAGGAAGAGAAAGGTAAAGATAAAAATTATGAACAACAAAGTGACAACAAATACATATCTATCAACAAGTGAATCTAAAAATCAAGTCAATAAAAAATCTGATGAACAGAATAAATTGATGAATATAATAGAATCAGGGGCATAGAAAGGGAGTGGACTGACAATTTTCGGGGGAAAGGAGGGGTGAGGGGTGAGGGAAGTGATTGGACAAAAATCTTACATCTATGGATGAGGACAGTGGTGGGTGAAAAGTGTTGGTGGGGGGGGCGGGCAAATCAGGTGGAGGGGAGCTATGGGGGGAAAAAAGAGGAAAATCTATAATAATCTGAACAATATTTACTAAAAAAAAAAAAAAAAAAAAAAAGTAAATGGTTCATAAATACTAGTTGAAATGCTCTGTTTGTTGACAGAAGAAAGGAAATTACCTTTAAAAATAGTTCCTAAGAGATTAAGAAGTCTGTTCTCCTCCGACTCCTCTGGATCCATATGACTGAAGGGTTCAGACTCCTGGAAGTGGCCCAGGGCTTCTCGAGTGAGAATGATGGCCTGCCTAAAAGAACATCAACCTGTCACCAACTTAGCACCCATAAAGGCATCACTGTTGTCTTTTGAAATAAAAAAAGTATAATTGACATACAAGAGTGTCACTGTAGACTTAAGGAAGCCTACTTGATAATCCCATCAAATACCTAGACCTACTGTCCCAAGGAAAAGGAACATTTCTCACACTTAAGTACGTAAAAAGGGATAGAGCTCAAACACTTCTTATTTCTGAAGTGATAAGGCTTAACTAGTCTTCAAAACTCTCAAATAAGGCCTTTAAAATTTTAAAATAACAACTCTATACCAAACATCTGCTTAAAAATTTGCCAAGAGAAAATTTGGAAAAAATAAACTTTCAGTATAATGAGATTATATACCTAGCCACATTCTATTAATATTTAGCCCTTTCTGGACAGCCTAATTAGGTAATAAGTAAATAAGTAAGTAAATAAATAAATAACCATGACCAAGGTTTAAGAATACCTGATGACATCTTTACAATCTGTTTTTGCCAAGCTGCTCTAAAGTTCTTGAAACACAAAAACTCTGGGTGAAACCTTTTTTTAAAGATCAGGATTCACACTGGGATGATTTAAAGATTAAGGTAGAGCCAAAACTGGTTTGGCTCAGCGGATAGAGCATTGGCCTGTGGAATGAAAGGTCACAGGTTCGATTCTGGACAAGGGCATGTACCTTGGTTGCAGGCACATCCCCAGTAGGGTTTTTAAAAATATATATATTTTTATTGATTTTTTACAGAGAGGAAGGGAGAGAGATAGAGAGCTAGAAACGTCGATGAGGGAGAAACATCAACCAGCTGCTTCCTGCACACCCCCTACTGGGGATGTGCCCGCAACCCAGGTACATGCCCTTAGGTCAATGCTCAGGGCACTTGCCCAGGTTGTGGTCTCTGTTGGAAGTAGCAGATGGATGTTTCCCTCTTGGTCAGGGCACATATTTATATTTACAGGTTTTCTCTTCAAAGAGGGACTTTTGCTATCTTTAATATAATGCTATTTATATTTAGTTATTTTAGTATTTTCTCTTAAGCATTTGCAAAAGGTGAAAAGCAGCCCTAGTCAGTTTGGCTCACTGTATAGAGCGTCAGTCTGTGGACCCAAGGGTCCTGGGTTCAATTCCGATCAAGGGCAGGCACACCCCTGGAGGGCCTGTGCAGGGGGCAACAAATGGATGTCGTTCTTTCACATTGATATTTCTGTCTATCTTTCCCTCTCTCTTCTACTCTCCCTAAAAATCAGTAGAAAAATATCCTCGGTGAGAGTTAAAAAAAAAAAAAGTCAAAAAGCATGCTTAATTGTGGACTATGCGTTTGGCATCAATCTGATGTTCAGACCACTTCTACAATGAAAACATGTAACATCACCTGGTGACAGCATACTTTCAATACAGTTCATTTTAAAGAAACATTATTTCTCCAAGTTTAAACACTAAGCCTAAACAGGCCATTAGAGAATATCTCATTCTTTCACATACTTGTAACTAGCTTTGGCAAGTAACTGATGGATGCGTCCTTTCACCTCTTCTATGGTCTCTGTAGTAATTTTTTCAGGAATCTCCTCTTCTTCCTGGGGAAGTGTGAGCAGCTGTTGTAAAGTAGACTTCAACTCTGGCAGCATGGCTTCCCACTCCTCCTCTGGGTCCAGTACTGCGGCTGAATGAGAAAGTATCACTTAGACTCTTTCACTGGTGTTTCTGCTGCAGGGAGGACTGTTTGGGGTGGGATTCCTATGCATTAACTACTCACAAGCAACTGCAGTTTGCCGCTGGGCCCTCATCTCTTGTAATTTCTGGGTTTCCTTCTGCAGCGGTCCAGCAAGATCAGAATCACTAAGCTATCATGGTAAAATGGGCATCAGGGTCACCAAGTCACAGATTTTTACCCCTTGTTTCCTTTAATCCCTTCTCTTCTGGATGGCCCACGTCTACTTACCTTGCAGGAAAAGGGATTGTTGGTGAGAAAACTGGCCAGCAGCTGGATAGCGTTTTTACACACTAGCACCGACTTGTCTGCCAGACGGCCCACTGCCAAGGCCACCACTGCCTGGAAGCGTGTCAGGGGGAGAGCCTAAGTGGGATACAAAAAGGATCAGCTCACATCCACATCATCCTTTCTGCTCTAGATGATCTTGAAATAACTCTAAATGAGCTACCTATTCATTCCAAAGAAATTTTTCTGTGGGATACAAAATAATTAAGGAGTACTCTTTTAGTGGTTAAGACACAGTACAGTCTTTAAATGGAGCCAGACATCCTTGCGCTTTGATAGACGAAGACCTTTATTACTGGTAGTAACCATCTGAATTCTAGACTCTTGTTTGGGACAGATTTTTTTTTTGACACCAATTCCTCTTTGCTCTGGCCTATATAGAGTGGTACCATATATCTTTATTAGGTAGAAGGCTGTTCACCTTCTGCTGGACAATTCGGGTGAAGAGTTGCAAAACACGGCTTCGTACAAAGGAATTGACATCATGGCCATGGGCTTGCAGGGTGTCCAAGAACTGGTCTCTGGTGTCTCGGGCTGCTTCTTCCAGCTGATCACCATTCAGAACCTGCAGTATCATCTCTGCCATGGCTGCGAGCACAGCATTGCGCATCATGTAATTCTGAGAGAGAAATAAAGTTGGTATAAGCCTCTGCACTTCACTACTCACTTTCCCTTTCCTAATTCTTATGCCTGTCTAGGCACTAAGAAGGGGCAAGGCCTTTAGTCAAGGTTATCCTTGCTTGTCTTAGCTATAACTTTCCCTGGAAAAAGCTAAATCCCAGAGGGACTTTATTTGCTCAAAGAATGTAGAGACAAAATAAACAAGAGCCAAAAACCATTTTCCCCCTAAGGTTCATCCAGGTAATCATGGTGGTAGCCAAATATGAAATTGAATCTATCCACCAATATACTGGTACATTTGAAAAGTATTAATGACTACCTATCACCTGAGGTCTCACCACCATTGATCCTTACCAATAAATAGGCCCTTCTCTCCCACTCCCCTATTTTACTGACAGAAAAGGAAACACAGAGAAATAGAAATCAGTCCTACAGTGCCAGCAAGTCTATTACAGAATCTGAAAGAGAAGAGGGTCTTGCACAAGAAGTTAAAATAAATTAGATGAACAAGTGGACCGTCTCTGTTCTTAATATTCACATAAGAGTGTCCTGCGTTAGTTTAGGAAATGACAAAGTTGGCATTTAGGGACAAAAGAGAATTGAGCCAGGCAAGTATGGCTCAGTGGTTGAATGTCGACCTATGAACTAGAAGGTCATGATTTGACTCCTGGTTTTGGGCTCGACTCCCTAGTATAGGAGGCATCCAATCAATGATTCTTTCTTACCATTGATTTTTTTTTTTTTAATCAATCTTTATTGTTCATATTATTACAAAGGTTCCTCATTTCTTCCCCCCTCCACCAGGTTCCCACCCCACCCTCTGCCCCCTCCCCATCCCCCATTGTCCTCATCCATAGGTGCAGTTTATGTTCAGTCTCTTCTTCCCTCAATTTCCCCAATAGTAAATCCCTTTTCAGATAGTAAAACAGTTACTTAGCATTTTCTCATATCAATAATACCTCCACATGCCCAATGATACATTTCACACAAAAGACATTTCCCAATAGGTCCACCAGCCTCATCCAGGCCCCACCCAAGGCACTCACAGATCAACACCCCAGTCCTAAACTAACTCAACACATCCAGATCTAAGCCTTCATCACTTGATTCAGCAGACCCTCAAGTTCCCACGAAAGTTTCCAGCCATGTCTGAGAAGCAGCTGTGGGGCAGGGGCAAGCAAGGAGCGAGCTGTTCTGGGCCTGGCTGCTCAGGGCCTGGCCTCTGTTGCTCTGGTTCATTCCACAACCAGCTGCTCTGGGTCTGGTCACTGCCGCTCCCGACCTAGTTGCTCTGGACTTGGCTGCTGCTGCTCTGGGCCTGGCCGCTCCCAGCTTGGCAGCCGCTGCTCCGGGCCTGGCCGCACCCGACCCGCCTGCTCCCCCGGGCCTGGCCGCTCCCAGCCTGGCAGCTGCTGCTCTGGGCCTGGCCGCACCCGACCCGGCTGCTCCCCCGGGCCTGGCCGCTCCCAGCCTGGCAGCCGCTGCTCCGGGCCTGGCCGCACCAGCCCCGGCTGCTCCTCCGGGCCTGGCTGCTCCCAGCCTGGCAGCCGCTGCTCTGGGCCTGGCAGCACCTGACCCGGCTGCTCTGGTCCCAGCCGCTCCGAGCCTGGCCACTCCCGACCTGGATGCTCTGGGCTTGGCTACTGCTGTTCTGGGTCTGGCTGCTCCCACCCCGGCTGCTCTGGGCCCGGCCACTCTGGGTCTGGGTGTTCCTGGACTGGCCACCCTGGGCTTGGCCGCCTCCGCCTCATGCCTGGCTGCCACTGCCCCAGGTCTGGCTACTCCAGTGGTGGCTGTTGATGCTCTGGTTCTGGCTGCTGTTGTTCTGGGGCCTGGCCTTTGCTGTTCCGGGTCTGGCTGCCACTGCCTTGTGCCTGGCCACTCTAGGCCTGGCCGCCGCTGTTCCAACATTCTGTCCTTTTTTTTTTTCTTTTTTCTTTTTAAAACGCATTTATGTTGCAACGTTGGCTGGTGAATTGAGTTCTGACTTAGTCTTTGATTTTTCAAGATCTTCTTTGTATTCTTTCTTAAGTAATTTTACTATTTTTTGTTCTCACTTGATTTCTTCACATTGAGAACTTCTTTGGTTTCTTCCTCCTTGTCCTGGGAGCTCAGCAGGTTGGCCTGTGGCACCCCTTTGTTCTCCGCGGGCTCCTGCGCTGCTTCGGCCTGTTGCCGGGACGGCGCCGCCCAGGAAGCAGCCCCCGGCCTTGGCTCCATTGCCAGCGCTCAGCGGTCAAAGGCTCAGGGGCACCCACACCCCCAGGGGCCCCGTGGCCCGCCTCCTTGCTGGTGCCCGGTTGGCTGGAGTCCAGCAGGGGCTTCCGCTCCCCTCCGCGTTCCCCCAGCCCGGAGCTTTTTTTCTCCTTCCCGCTAGGGGAGTCCAGCAACAGAGTCAACAGACTGTCCTCTGCGCGCAGTTTGCGCGAGTCCCAGGGGCCCGGCCTTTCGCCGCTCTCCCCAGACTCTACCTCACAGCCCTGTCTCCCTCTGCCTGAGCCTGGGTCCCCAGGGATTAGCCCAGAACTGGGATTCGGAGCAGTCCGGACTGAGGCTCAGCGCCGCCGGAGGCCTTGTTTCTTCCGGCTAGGATAACCCAGCATCAGAGTCAACATTCAGTCCTCTGCGCGCGCATTGCGCGCGACTCCCGGGGCCCTGCTTTTCGCCGTTTTTCCGCCTCACGACCCCGTCTCCTCCCACCGGAGCCTGGGTCCCCAGGGTCTGGCCCATAACTGGGGCTCAGCGCTGCCGGTTTGGGGGGCTCAGCGCTGCTGGTTCGGGGGTTCAGCCCAGGCTGGGGGTTTTATTTCCTTCCTGCTAGGGAAGGAAAGGCAGCTCCCTGCCCTCTCCTCCTCTCCGACAGCGACCTCTCCGCGCGCACGTGCAGGCAGGCGCGCAGCATGTCTCCGTACCTTAGGCTTTTTTTCAGCTCCTCTGATTTTCTTTCTGTTTTTTTCTTTCCTTCTTGTTGTAGAAATTTCAGTCAGTCGACTACCTGTAGCTCTGGGCACTGTCCACTCTACATTTTAGTTGTATTCCATTGAAATTGTTGTGTGCTGCCGCGACTAGATGTCTACCCGAGCAGCCAACTTGGATCCTCTCTCCATTGATGTTTTTTATCTCTCCCGACCCCCCTTCCTCTCTGAAATCAATTAAAAACAAATAAACATATATATATATATATATATATATATATATATATATATATATATATATATGTTTATTTGTTTTTAATTGTTTTAGAAATATATATATATATTTCTAAAGAGAATTGAGAGAAATGACATGGGTTAATTTGAGGAAGTTTATTGTATTGAGGAAGAAAGGCAAGCCAGATGCTAGGAAGAGGCTTCATCCTGAAAAATGAATGGGATTCAGAATCACTGCTGTCACTCTCTCTGAACTTAAGCTGTGGAACTGTCACCTCCCCTACCAGACCTGGAGAACACCAATGTGACACTGAAATAGACTCTTTATTCAATAAACCTTATCTGCTTCTCTACAGGAAGGAAGTGCTACAGTGATAAGACCAGACAACTCGACTTCATGTGAAAGCTACCTCCTTGGTAAAAAAAATATACATAAATCCCCAGAAAACCCGAGATCCCCAGAGTACCACCTACCTCTCCATCCAGATGATCTAGCAAAATGCACATGCTGGACATCAGGATGGCTGGGATACGTTCTGCTAGTTCTGTCAAGAAGGCTGCAAAGCCCTTTGCTCCTATAGGGTCCCGACTCAGCTCCTGGGGACACTTCTGTCCAATCTCTCTACACAGGGAAGAAAACACAGCCACAGTAAGATAACTCAATTCCCAGTAAGAGGAGGTAAGACTAGTATCTAACAGCTGAAGGAATCTAGTAGAGAATATACTCTACTTCTAATCTTCCTTTATCTTCTCCCAGAAAGAAACGAGAATTAGAAACTTAGAAGTGAAGAGTTACCTTACAATCTCTCCCACTATGCTCTTCATTCCATAGTCAGTTGCCCATAGACTCACAGCCGCCACCAGTACAGGTGGCAGGTGTTCAAAGTGCTGCAGCATCTGGATGATTTTCACTGTGGCACCTGTGGAAGTATTAAACATGAGAAATTATGGGCAAAGTGAAAAGGGTAGGGGCAAGGTGAAGGGCTAACTTACTGAGCATATGGTTGTAATGTGTCAAGGCTACACCAAGCAGGCGTGTTATAGCTTCCCGGGTAGAGCGGTTCTTCTGGTGACCAATGGTGGGGTTCTCCAGAAGGCGGTAACAGCAACCAGTAACCAAACTGAGAGGAACAAAGTGAGATGAAGAAATCAGTTGTCTAGACTCAATTATATTGGGGGTCTGCCTCATTCATTCTATTTCTACTGCCACTGAAGTCAGGATCTTCTAGTTTTCTCCATTTATTTACAACCTTCCATACCAGTTTGCATTGATGACCTCAGATAGGTACTTCGTCCTTTGAGATTACCAACTTTCAACCAGTTAGGATGCCCATACAGAACCCGAATAGGGGTGCTCAAAAGTCTGGTTTACAGTTTGAGTATGTGAAACAGTTTATTTGTGTATTATTTATTAACTAGAGGCCTGATGCACAAAATTAGTGCAGGGGTGGGGGTGGGGGTGTCCCTCAGTCCAGCCTGCACCCTCTCCAATCTGGAACCTCTAGAGGGATGTCCGACTGCCCATTTAGGCCCTGAAAGGGGCAGTAAGACATCCCTCTCACAATCCAGGACTGCTGGCTCCCAACCGCTCATCTGCCTGGTAGCTCGATCACCCCCTAACCACTCCCCTGCCAGCCTGATTGACGTCTAACTGCTCCCCTGCCGGCCTGGTTCCCCACAACTGTTCTTTTCTGCCAGCCTAGTCGCCCCCAACTGCTCTCCCCTGCAGGCCTGGTCCCTCGCAGCTGCCCTCCCCTGCTGGCCATCTTGTGGAGGCCATCTTGTGTACACATGGGGGCAGCCATCTTGTGTGTTAGAGTGACAGTCAATTTGCACATTACCTCTTTATTATATAGGATTATTGCATTATTTACCATACAAACAACTATACACCTACTTTGTCCAGTCCTGTATATGATAAAAGATAGAACAAATTCACCAGTGACTTCTCATTGTTAAATGTAAGTCAATTCAGTACTTAGCTTAATTGGTCACTCATTTCTCCAAAAGAAACATGCTTCACATGGCTTCCTGAACGCTAGACTCAGTTTATTTGTCTTCTCATCACCCTACCTTCTTAATGCCTAAAGTGTCCCAGGGTATAGTCTGGATTTCTGCTCTACTGTGGCTACTGACTGATTTAGTAATCTCATTCAGTCTTATGGCTATAAAAACATATATTCCCAAATGTGTGCCTCTAGGCCAAACCTCTCTCCTGTACTTCAGATTTGTACATTCTACATCTGAATCTGACATTCTGATATCTAATAAGCACCTAAAACATTGTATGTCTAAAACATAACTTCTAATGGTCTTCCCCAAAACACACCCCCATAGACTCCCCATATTTCAGTTACAGACAATTCCATTCTTCCAAATGCTCCAATTTCGTCATCCTCCCTCAAACCTCACATACATCTGTCACTCATCTTGTAAGCTCTACATTTAAGAAAAAAAGTATGAACTACAACCACTTCTCTTCATCTTCACTAACACTCTTTGGTCTAAATTATCATTATTTCTTGCCCAAGTTATTGCAATAGACTCCTAACTGGTCATCCACTTCTCTCCCTCCATAGTCTGTTTCAACACAACAGCCAAAACAGCCCTGTTAAAGACCAAGTAAGAACACCTGTTGTCCTGCTCAGAACCCTTAAGGAATCCCATCTCACGGAGAAAATGCCAATTACCATGATGGCCTACAAGCATCTGCACAGTTTGGCTCCAACTGCTCCCCACCCTGACCTATAACCTATCCCTCTCTCTGGCCTCATTGCTAGTCCTTGTACATCTGGACACCTCCCTCCAGATAGTCTTACTGCTCTGATGACCTCCTCCGGGTCTTTGCTCAAATGTCACCGAGTCAAAGAGATCTTGCCAGAACGACTGAATTAAAATCACAACCTTCTTCCATTAAATGTGTCCCCCCCTCCATTTTTCTCCATAGTAATAAAACATAAAAATAATATATATTCTTCTTATTTTAAAAATTGGCTTCTGCTCTATAAACTGAGGGCAGAAACTTTTGTTTCTAGTGCCTATAATGATACTAACTATGCACCTAGGAGATTATTAGTAAATAACGTTTCATGAATGAATACATAGGTATTAAAGATGAGAAATTAAAAAAAAAAAAGATTAGAAATTTACAGCACTAACATTCATTATCTATTTCCTAATAACTTAATGTTTTGAGTATATTTCTATATTATAGATACAATTGAGGTATGAAGTAAAGTAGGTCCAGCAAGAGCCCTCATTCCACATAGCTCAGTATTATCTGTAGTCGTTTTAACTGCCTACCTCACAAATTCCTCTTCAATTATTGAGTGGTTCCATAGGTGACGAATGTCCAACTGGAGGAGCTGTGTTAAAAGCTGAAGAATTGGTTGCCTCTCCTCTTCCCAGTCAAAGCCATGGGCTGACTTGGCCCTGGCTTTCTTGCCCTAAAAAAGATCATGTATACCTTTAGGAAAAAAGTCAAGATCTGCTAGTCTGAGTGCCTAAGCTAACCAGTATCGAGACAAGATAGAAGGTAATACAGAAGAGGTATGTCGTGATGCTTTTGAGCATAAACCCTAAGAACAGGAAGGAGTTTCAGAATCATTAGATTTCCTTCTTTCCTATTAATTCACCATCCTTCCTATTAAATGAGCCAGGAACTCCAAGTTACCTTCCCAAGGTCCAGGTCCACGAGATTTGTCTGGGTGGTCATAGTCTCAAAGGATTCCAAGAGGCGTACCAGAGCATAGCAGTTCATTTTGAGGGCATTTAGGTGGGCACTTCTATCTGATACACTCAAAGCTGCATCATCGAGGATAGCTGGAAGTTCCTGAGCATGGCGGGATACCACTGTGAGGGTCAGAATCGGAGTCAGTTTCATTCTCTTTCCTTAAAGCACCCCAACTTCTAAACACCCTGCACTCGCAGCCATCAGATTACCAAAGATCTGTGTTTCATTTCTCAGTGGCCACAACACAAGCTAAGTCCTTTAGGACCCTTGACCCTGATACCATGAACATGCCTTGTCCCTCCCTACTCACTCCAGCTACCACAATTTCTTCCTGGCAACTGGGAAGAAATTATCTCCACGAAAGAAATAATTCTTCAAAAGCAGGAAGAATTTCTTGTTGGTCTGCCCTTACAGAGAACACACATAACTCTGTATTGCCCACCAAGATTACAGACCTAATAGGTCAAAGGTCCTTGGGCTTAGCCAAACCAACTGAATCACCGTAGCCTTGATATCATCATGTGGCTGGTAAAATGTAGTAAACAACAACCAACACCTTCTATCCCATACTTTCCCCCTGACCCCATACATACCTTTTATCAGGAATTCCAGGACATCTTCCTTGAGGCCAGGATCTATACTTCGAAAGTGACTATGAAGGAAAAAAAGTGCAAGGGTTGAGACAGAAACTTGCAGAGCCCATTCTAACAGATCAGATCTAACTTGAAGAACCTAATGGCTAAAAATACAAGCAAAATTGCTTAACTGAAAAAATATGGTAGCAAGTTGGTGTAAATGCTCATCAGTAGAGATATCAGCACCCAGAACAATTAAATATATATATATATACATGTACATATATATATGTATATATATGTTCACTTCAGAGAGGAAGGGAGATAGAAACATCAATAATGAGAAAGAATCATTGATCGGCTGCCTCCTGCACACCCCACAATGGGGATCAAGCCCGAAACTCAGGCATGTGCCCTTGACTGAATCGAACCTGAGACCTTTCAGTCCACAGGCGGATGCTCTATCTGCTGAGCCAAACCAGCTAAGATACACCCAGAACAATTTATCAATGAACATAATATAGAATTTCAGGACTAACATGCATAGTTAGTTCAAACAGCCACCAGTTCTTTTAAAAACACCAGTGAGTACTTTACTTACTGTAGAATGCTGTATACAGTATCAAAGTGCTCCAGCATAGCCAGGGGTCCCTGAGCTCGGAAGGCAGTCTGAAAAGCTATAAAGATGAAAGAATCTGATCAGTACAGAGGGGAGAGGCGCTTTTGGTAAATTCTATTCATGTCAGAAAATTGAGTTAACTGCTTTTATTGGCAAAATCACAAAATAGTTCATTTCAATGTAACCTATTATAATAATACTAGAGGCCCGTTGCACGAAGATTCGGACAATAGGCCTTCCTTCACCTGGCTGCCAGCACCAGTTTTCCTCAGGCACCTAGGACCCAGGCCTTTGCTCTGGCCACTGCCTTGTGCCTTTGCTCCGGTGGAGTGCTGTTCCTGTAGCTCCCTCTGGCCCCTGCCCTCTTCCTCACAGCAGGCGTTCTGCCCCACCCAGCTGGTTGGCACCTAGAGCGACTGCCTTATCTTTGTCCTGCTAATTTGCATGGCCCCTCCTGATTGGCTGCTGGGCATCATGGAGGTACGGTCAATTTTTACATATTTCTCTTTTATCAGTGTAGATCTTACATTTTGTCCTGTTTTACAAGTAAAGCCTTACTTGAGTTTCATCATATTTCTGAGCTACACAAAGTAGACAGTATTATGCCTATTTCCTGGGAAATGAAATGGTCAAAAAGAAGTTACATGACCTGTCCAGCTTACAATAGTTAGTAGAGAACTAATTTTAATTTAGTAATTATAAAAGCGGCAAAACCAGCACAGCGTTCCTGTACTTTCTTCCTAGATAATGGTCACTTAGTATAAAGATCTATTCTAAACCAAGATATCAACATTAATTCAATGCTATTAATTAATCTACAAATCTTATTTGAATTTTTCCAGTTGTAGCAATGCCCCCTTTCTGGTTCAGGATCCTATCTAGCAAACCACAGTGCATTCAGTTGTTGTCTCCTTAGTCTCCTCTAATCTTTTTTTGTGTGATTTTGACAAGTTTGAAGTGTACTAACCAGTTATTCTATAGAATGTCCCTCACTTTGGGTTTGTCTGATATTGTCTCATGATTAGAGTGAGGTTAAATTAATTTGCATTTTTGGCAAATTACCACGGAAGAGAGGTCGGGTCCTTCAGACGCATTATACAAAGAAGTATGTGATGTCAATGTCTTAGTATTGCTGATGATAACTTTGATTCTTAGTGTTTGTCAAGTGTCTCCACTGTAGAGTTACTATTTTACCCTTTGCAAATAAATATCTTGTGGGGAGATACTTAGAAACTATGTAAATACCCTGTTTCTTATATTTGCCCACTAATCTAAACATCTATTAACCCTTTGCACTCCGCTGTCCCCTCTCAGGGGACATCGCAGTTTATTAGTAATTACGGGGAATTGAGTTAATTCAACGCATGTTTCGCAAAGTAGCGTCGAGTAGCTGGTAGCCAATGTCCAGAATGGTTCGGAGTGCAAAGGGTTAATAATTATTATTATTGTGGTATTTTCTAAATGGTGACTTTTCTATCTCCATCATTCCTTCTACACTTACTAATGGGAATGCCACTATGAGGATGACCTATGCTTTTCCCCTCATTTATTCATTCAATTATTTATTTATATCATAGTGGATTCATGAATATTTCTTTTATTCTGCTTAATCCATTCCTATTACTATTGGTCAAATCATCCCTAACTTGACTATTGGTAGCTCCTTCAACTTGGCCTGTGTCCTGACATGGCCCCTTTACTTGTACTTTCATAATTTTTTGTATCACATGATGTTCCAGCTCATCTTATACTTTCACTGACTCTGTTCTGGCATCAACATTCTCAACAATTCTGGTTCCTCTTTTGGGAGAATGGTAGGTAGAAAGCAAGTTATAGGCACTAGTTGGCTTACTGCTATTGAAATATCATTGTTTTTAGACCCTCTCAGTAGAAAAAAGCAGGACGGACACACACACACACACACACACACACACACACACACACACCTTTTTTACCTATCTATATTAAACACGTGAGTTCATTTATGTATTAGCTTAATTAATCTGGTAGACACACAAAGCAGTTTTAGAATTACTAACACACAAGCCGGGACTGGTTTGGCTTAATGGATAGAGCGTCGGCTTGGGGACTGAAGGGTCCCGGGTTCAATTCCTGTCAAGGGCATGTACCTTGGTTGCAGGCATATCCCCAGTAGGGGGTGTGCAAGAGGCAGCTGATCGATGACTCTCTCTCATCGATGTTTCTAACTCTCTATCTCTCTCCCTTCCTCTCTGTATGAAATCAATAAAATATATTAAAAAAAAAAAAAGAATTACTAACACATACCTTATAAAAAATAAATTTACTGCCCTGGCTAGTGCTCTCAGTGGTTAGACATTGGACCACACAACCAAGGGTGGCAGGTTCAATTCCCGGTCAAGGGCATGCACTTGGGTTGCAGGTTGGATCCCTGGCCCTGGTTGGGGCAAGTGTGGGAGGCAACCAATCAATGTTCTCCCTCACATTGATGTTTCTCCCTCCCTCTAAAAATCAATGGAAAAAACATCCTCAGGTAAGGATGAACAAAAACAAGCAAACAAAAACCCCCACCAAAGCAACACAAACAAACAAACACACCACCATGCTGGCTATTCTCTTTAAACTTATAATTTACTAGAGGCCTGATGCATGAATTTGTGCACAGGTGGGGTCTAGCTGACAGGCAGAGATCTGGCTGACTGGCTGGTGGGGGTGGAGGGGCAGGGGCCTGGGCAGGTGATGGGCCAGCTCTGGCCCTTGGCTGAACTCCTGGTTGAGGGGACAATTTGCATATTAACCTTTTATTATATAGGGTTATTTCTTAAGCCTTTTACAACAATAATCCTAAGGTTACTCACTTTCTTCTAGACAATTTTTCACTTTCCAATTTTTCACAAGACCTCCTTCCTTAACTCACTCTCAGTTAAAGGCGTCACTTCCTGCCCTAGTTGGCTTGGCTCAATGGATAGAGCGTTGGCCTATGAACTGAAAGGTCCCAGGTTCGATTCTGGTCAAGGGCACATGCCCAGGTTGTGGGCTCGATCCCCATTGTGGGGTGTGCAGGAGGCAGCCCATCAATGATTCTCTCTCATCATGAATGTTTCTATTCTCTCTCCCTCTTCCTTCCTCTCGGAAATCAATAAAAAACATATATTAATAATAATAATAATAATAATAATAATAAAGGCATCACTTCCTATCTCATAGAGAAAACAGAATTGGGACAGAAGATAACTTTTATCTTCCCCAAGCTCTGTATTTACCTGCACTACCTGCATCTGTGCTCATAGATTGCCTTCTCTTTTGCTATTGCACATAAATTGTCCATGCTCTAATAAAACCATTCCCCACCACCCCACCATGTGCCAGATCACATACTCTCATCTACTAAAAGATACTGTTCCAATAATTGTTTCCTATCCCTTTTGCATCATTTGCATAATTGTTTTCTATCCCTCTGATCATTCCCATTCAACAGATACATGTAATGCTACCCATCTTACCAAAAATATCCCCCACTGACTCTTTTCTCCCTTTCTAGCTACCACCCCATTTCTCTGATAACCCTTAAAGCAAAACAAAGTTATCTAAACTTACCACCATCTCTAATCTCTCTTGTCCCATAAGCTTGGACCACTACTTCTCTGAAACAGCTTTTATCATGGTTGCCAGCAATTACCAAATCGCTAAATCTAGTAATCTCAATTTGTAGTTGATCTCTTCTTTCCTTTTTGAAATATTCTCTTAATGTACCTCCCATTTAGTGCCTTCATTCACTTTCTGCTTCAATAATTGGTCCTTAGTTTCTTCTATAGGTTCTTTCTCATCTCTAGCCTTTAAATATATTTTATTGATTTCAGAAAGGAAAGGAGAAGGAGATAAAAACATCAATGATGATACAGAATCATTCATTGATCGGCTGCTTCCTGCACGCTCCCTATTGGGGATCAAGCCTGCAACTCATGTATGTCCCCTCACAGGGAATTGAACTGTGATCTTCTGGTTCATAGGTCAGTTTTCAATTACTGAGTCATGATGGCCAGGTTCTGCAGCCTTTAAATGTTGGACTTGGCTCTGTCTTATAACTTCAAATTGTTTTTCTACTCCATCTACTTTCATTCCAATCTCATGACTTTAAGTGCTCTCTACAACATGAAAATCAAATCTCAAATATCTTTAGCTGGGACCCCTCCCCTGAATTCCAGTCTAAACCTGCTCCTCTCATGTCCCGGTCTCAATAAATGACAACTCCATTCTTCTACCCTGTTTCCCCGAAAATAAGAAAGTGTCTTATATTAATTTTTGCTCCCAAAGATGCGCTAGGTCTTATTTTCAGGGGATGTCTTATTTTTCCATGAAGAATATGGTACACATTTATTGTTAAATAAAAATAAAGGAAATTTATTACCTGTATATGGTACGGTAGTACGGTAGTTGTCAACACAAATCAGACAAACGGAATCCTCCAGTATCAAGAATTTACTCATTTATTCAATGACAATCATGTCATCATCTTCTGGAACATCATGATAACAATCCAATTCCTGAATTTCCTGGTGAATTTCTTGTGACTCCATTTCTTTCAGAATCAGTGGACCAAATCTCTCATGTTTAGCAGGGGGGGGGGGCTTATTTTCGGGGGGATGGCCTTATATTTCACTCAGAAGGAAACCTGTAAGTAGGTCTTATTTTCGGAGGATGTCTTATTTTCGGGGAAATACGGTAGTTGCTCAAGTCAAAAGCCTTGCAATCCCTTGATTCTTTTTTTCTAGTCCCATAAATCCAATCTGATCCAACAATAATCCTATTTATTAACTCTACCTTAAAAATATACTCAGGTCCTGATCAGGTAGCTCAGTTGGTTAGTGTCATCCTCTTATGCCAAAGTTTTAGGTTCAATCCTGTCATGGCACATGTAAGAACCAACCAATGAATGCATAAATGAGCGGAACAAATCAGTGTTTCTCTCCCTTCCTCTCTATTTCTAAAATCATTAAAAAAACAAAAACAAAAACAAAACACACACACACACACACACAAAAATATTCAGAATCTAACTAACCCTTTATGATCCCCTCCACTGCTATCACCCAGGCAAGCTACCTGATATTACTCTAATAGCCTACTACTTTCCCTGCTTCTTCCCTTGCCCTTTACTGTCTCTGTTCAACAGAGTAATCCTTTAAATTTTTGTTTGTTAATTCTCAACCAAGGATATTTTTCCATTGACTTTTATAGAGAATGGAAGGGAGGAGAAACAGAGAGAAACATCGATGTGAGAGAGACACATCAATTGGTTGCCTCCCACAAGCTCTCTAACCAGAGCAGGTGCAACTGAGCTAAGTGCCCTTGACTGGAAATGGAATCCGTGACTCTTCAGTCCTCAGGCTGACATGCTATCCACTGGCTTTCTGTCTGCCCTGCCTTGAGATCTGCACAGATCACTCCCTTTCTGCTCAAATGTCATCTAACAGCAAGGTTTCTCCAATCATCCAATACAAAATGCCAGTCCCTGCCTATGCACAACTTATTTTTATCTTGCTTTACTTTTCTTGTTGGCACTTACAACCACCCAGCATACTCCATATTTACTTATTACTTTTTGAGAGCTTTGAGAAAACTGTCATCATGTCTGTTTTGTCTACTATTGTGTTGCCTCGAACAGTGCTTGGCACATAGCATGTCCTTAGTATATCTGTTGAACAAATCAAATGATCTATTTTGGATATTTATAGAACTTACTAGAGGTCCAGTGCATGAAAATTCATGCACTGGAGGGGGGGTCCCTCAGTCTGGCCTGCCCCCTTCTCACAATCCTGGAGCTCTCAGGGGCTACCCAGTGATCAGGGGGAGGCAACACCTCCATCACACCTCTGCTGCTGTCACTGCCAGCAGCACAAGCCTTAACTGGCCCTGGGAGTCTGAGGGAACTGGGGGACTCTGGAGGCAGGCGCACAGAGTGGCTGGACCCGCCTGGGGGTGGGCCTGGCTATGCTGCATGCCTGCTGTCCTGGTGGGGCTTAGGGGACTGGGCTCCGGCATCTCTGAGGGCGGGGCAGCCAATTAGCATATTCCCTCATGATTAGATAGGATATTCAGGATTCTAAACACCATAGCAATGTGTTAGTTAAAGACTCTTAAAGAAAGTGACCATCCACTTAAAAAAATAATGCATTATAATATCTGAAGAATAATTTGCTATAGTGTACAACATGTGCAATTGGTGATACATATATCCACGCAATGACACTGTTGACTGGCCACCCATCAGTCAGTCAACCTCCATACTCGGACTTACTCCTGGATTACCAAATGGTGATATGTTCAAGTTTAGGGAGACTCCTAGGTACTCATCTTTGCCTGTTTTGAAGTGTTAGGCATAGTGCCAGCTATGCAGTCTTACCTTTAAGCTGTGATGGAAGATTTCTGATGGACAGTACCTCTTGCACAACATATTGATTCACCCCTCCACTTTTCAACAATTCCTCTGGGGTTAAAGGCAGATGGAAATCACACAGTTGGGGAGACATCCTTCTTCCACTGGCTCACAGGGCTAGAAACCAAACAGAAAACATCTAAGGCCCGTCTTTTCTTCTAGTTCTCCTCTCCCTCATTACATAATGATTTTTAGTCTTACATCATGCAGATAACATTATCTTAGAGCAGTGTTTCCCAAACTTTTATGTGTACCCCTTCTACAATTTTCGTAACGCTGAGTACCCCTCGTACTCATGAGAACGTAGAATTAGGCGCAGCTAAGCACGGTGCAGTGCATATCCCCACCAAACTCCGGTGCAACGCGTACCCCCACCAAACTCTTCCAGTACCCCTGAGGGTACACGTACCACACTTTGGGAAACACTGTGAGAATATGAGATCTACCCAGGAATAAAATCTCATTTCACTCATGACTCTGCCACTTGGTCATGTCATGAACCTCATGTGTAAAACGGGGTTCCTAGTTTCCGATTACTTTACATAGGTGCTCTGAGGACCTGAGGAGTCAAAGGATTATTAAAGTGTGTAGAGAACTGTAAAGTGGCATATCAATGCCTTGTGTTTGCTTTATTATTATTATTTTTTTTATGGTCAAAGCTTATTAAGTAGAATGGCTCCCTTGAGATCAGAACAATGGTTTCCAGGCTCCAGAATGGGAGAGCATTAATGTTTATGACATGTTTACTGTATGCCAGGTCCTATTAGGCTATTTGTATACCTGATTTAATTCTTCAGATTCTTACTCTTATAGAATACATAATACAGCCCGATTTACAGATGATGAAAATGAGGCTAAGAAAGCTTAAGGCAAGAGACGCAAAATTCTGCCGCAGACCTATCAGACTGTTTCTACCGCATCGTACCCCGAGGATATGCCCACGAGACCTCCCTGCCTCTCGTATGCCGCCTAACACCGCGTTCTGACACCCGTACCCCCCGCACCCTACTCTCCCAGTCTTTTCATTATCCGCCCTCCATGATCACCACATCTTACCCGAGAGCCTCACCGGTCGTTCCTGGGACTCCGGCAGTGGAGCTGAAATGGAGAAAGCCCGGCGTGCATAGTACGCGCCAATCAGCGAGGCAGCACTGAAGCGGGCAGAGAGAGCGGCCAATCCCCAGCCGGCGGAGGCAAAATCCTGCCTCTGAGCCGGGCGACGCGCGGGCAAAGCCACAAACATGGAGTTCAAATCTCAACGGCCGCCAGGGGACCAATCGCGACGCTCGCTGCAGAGACTGGCCAATCAGAGCGCAGGATCCGGAAAGCCGGGCCGCGCCGCCAGGAGAAGGGCGGGGCCTAGTTACAGACTCTGCGGCCGGCCTTCCTAGGTCCTTTGCCCGCAGTCGGTGGGGAGGAGACTCCGGCCGTGTCCGCCAGAGATGCCGCGTGCCTAGTTGGACCCATTCAGTCAAACCCACGACTGGAGGCAAGTCCAGGCCGGGATTTAGGTTTAGCATCTTGTCCGGGTTCCGCCATTTCCTCTGCTACGTGAAGTCCAGCAAAGTCACTTCACTCAGGAGCCCGATTTCCTCCCCTGTACAATAGGGATAGTAAAAAAAAAAAAAAAAAAGCGACAGCGCAAAACTGCTGTGAGGCATAGAAAAAGGAAGCCCTGGGTTCCAGGGTCTGGACCATCTCCCTCGCAGTTGAGGGATGGCCAAAGAAACAAAAATGCATTTTCTTGAAATCCAGTTTTGGGATACACGGACGTAGGGAAGCCCTCACCTCTTCCGCCGCTCCAAGACTTCCGGCTCGCAGAACGGAAGCGCCTAGGCGGGGCAGGGTCTGAGTGACACCCGGGGCCTCCATGCGCCCGAACCCGGAAGGCGGGGCTTGTGGCTGGGGTAGGAGGAGCTTAGGAGCTCCCTGCGCCCAGAGATACCTGGGTAAGGCCCAAGATGGCTGCTTCCACCTAAAACATAGGTGTGGGCAGCACGAGCGGTTCCTATCATCTCCTTGGAGGTCACGCCTGGCTGGCACTCTGCTATAGCTGCATGCTGTTGTAGGGGAGAGACGGGTACGATGGCAGGGTGCCTCGCTGCGGGTGCAGGAAGGCGCCTGTGGAGCTGGGTGCCCCAGGCCTGCAGAAGTTTCTCTCTAGGTAAGTGGCGGATGAGGAGAGACGCTCGGAGAACTGCTTTTCAGAAAGCGGCCAGGATTCAGTCTCTTTCTTCTCCATCCCTTAGGTGTTCCTGACTTGTATTTTGTAAGGAACACCGTCCCGCCCCCCAAAGTGGTTGATCGCTGGAACGAGAAGAGGGCCATGTTTGGGGTGTATGATAACATCGGCATCCTGGGTAAGATTCGACTCCCTGTACATGACTTAAGAATGGCAATTATGTTGTAACAAGGACCCCCCCCCCCCGAACAATAGCAAAGAGCAAACACTCATGTGGTTATTTACGTTATATTGGACATTGTTCTGAGTGTCCTACATGTATTAACTCATTGAATCCGCATAAGAACGTTTTCACTTTGCAGGTGAGGAAACAGGCATAAAGAGGCTAGGTAATTTTTTTCAAAACTAGCAAATGGTAGTGCCAGTATTTGAACCCCAAACAATCTGGCTCCCAAGTCTGTGCTCTTGATACTGTAGTATAACGTGTCTTGTCTGTAGGTGCTGCTCTAAACGGTGCAACTTGTGCTGAAGGCTTAACAGCTGGTCGAGGCTGTCTTGTCTTACAACTAACATGTTCTCTCACATTACACAGGAAATTTTGAAAAGCACCCCAAAGAACTAATCAAGGGCCCAAAATGGCTTCGAGGCTGGAAAGGGAATGAATTGCAGCGTTGTATCCGAAAGAAGAGAATGGTTGGATATCGGATGTTCAGTGATGACCTACACAAGCTTAACAAACGCATCAGCTATCTCTACAAACATTTTAACCGACATGGAAAGTACCGGTAGAAGAGTAAGCTGGGGACTGTGGAAAAGGCATATCTAATATCCGGATGAAGGGAAATAGTACTTTTTTCCCCATGAGGAAAGGACTTTGTATGCTCTCCATAATAAAATGAGGCTTCGTTAGAATCTGTTATCCACACACTTTATTTTCCTCTTGATGCTACTTTTACTCACATAGACTTTGAAGTCTACTCATTCCTAAGTCTTAGGATCTTAGATTTGGACTTTACCACTTGCCTTTTGCAGTTTAGCCATGTCTATTTGCCTTTAAGAAAGAAAAAATATTGTTGGCACTTTTTGACATTTAGGTTTCATGTATTGAAAGTGGTAATTTTTAATTGCCCCTTAAGATTAAATGTTAAATATATTTTTAAAAATCCACATTGGACCTGGCTGGTGTGGATCAGTAGTTGAGCATCAACCTATAAACCAAGGAGCCCACGTTTCAGGCTTGGTCCACAGTTGGGGGTGGGAAGGAGGCAGTCCGATCAATGATGATCATCATTGATTTTTCTCTCTTTCCCTCTCCCTTCCTCTCTGAAATCAATACAAATTTATTAAAAAAAAAAAAAAAAACTACACTGGAGTGAAATGCAATGAAAAAGTGGAATTATATTTCTGTCACTATTCTTATAAAAACTATTGGTTACCTTTTCTGAGCAGAGAATTGTAGGAGAAACAGAAATGTGTAATATATCTTTTTTTAAAAATATATTTTATTCATATTTTACAGAGAGGAAGGGAGAGAGATAGAGAGCTAGAAACGTCAATGAGAGAGAAACATTGACCAGCTGCCTCTTGCACACTCCCTACCAGGGATGTGCCCACAACCAATGTACATGCCCTTGACCGGAATCGAATCTGGGACTTTTCAGTCCTCAGACTGACGCTCTACCATTGAGCCAAACCGGTTTCGGCTGTAATATATCCTTGAGCCACTCTCTGCATATGCTTTTCTAGTTAAGGATAGTTTATTCTATCCTATCCTATATAATAAAAGGGTAATATACAAATCAGCTGAATGGCGGAATGACATACACTGACCACCAGGGGGCAGATGCTCAATGCAGGAGCTAAGGATGTCCAACTGGCTTAGGGGAATGGGCCTAAGCCTTGGTGGGTCATCTTCGCGGGTTCCTGGACCATGAGAGGGTGCAGGCTGGGCTGAGGACCCCCTCCTGAAGTGTACAGATTTCATGCACCAGCCTCTAATGTATATATATTCAGAACACCTTGCACTTAGCAGTCTCAAATATTCGATTGTCTCTTCTCCCAAGTCCCACCAAATCATGTAAGGTATTCCAGCCACTCACATTTCATACCCACATCTCCATTCTTATATCCAGCTCTTCTTCAGCCATTGTTTTGAAAACTCTCTCCCATATTATTATGAGCCCTGACACAATATATACATTTCCTTAAGACCCAGGATCTTAATATATATTCACACATACCCATATCCATTTCTCTGAAACCCTAAACTTTTCACATGGGGAGTGGGCCTAAGCTGGCAGTCGGACATCTAGCCACCACTGCTGCACTCACCAGCTGAGAGCCTGGCTTTTGGCTGAGCAGTACCTGTGGAAGAGTACTGACCACCTGGGGCAGCTCCAGCATTGAGCATCTGCTTCCCCCACTCCGCCCCCCCAAGGTGGTCAGTGCAGTCATAGCGACTGGTTGTTCTGCTGTTTGGTTGATTTGCATATTAGCTTTTTATTACAAGAGGTTCTAAATTGGGGTTGAGTACCACTGCTTTGGAAAATGGAAGAAGGCAAGGGAATGTTTTTTAGGGTTCCTTTACTTTATTTTGGCTGAGTCTTTGAACTTTTGCTTTTTGATTTTGCTTGGTTTAATGTGTCTGTGTCTGTCTTCACTAGTTAAGCCTCATTCCCACTGAAGGTAGGGACTATCTTGTATATATTTGCTTGCTGCAGTAGTTGAATATCTGGCATATTAGATATCTTTGTATATGGTATTTTTAAAAAATACTGATTTTAGAGAAAGAGAAACTTCGATTGGTTGCCTCCCATAGTTATCCCAACTGGGGATCAAACCTGCAACCTAAACTATGTGCTCTGACCAGGAATTAAACTGTGACCGCCCATTTCATAGGTCTATACTCAAATAATTGAGCCACGCTGGCTGGGCTCCTTTTTATGATTAAAATAAAACCTGTTAAACTAGTAACGGGGAATTTCATTAATTTGATAAAAATTATACACTAGAGATCAACAATATAGATTTATGGACATGTATTCTCTTTAAAATCAGCAACATGACAAGGATGCCCACTATTGCTGCTGCATTATAACTTAATACTAATGGTTCTAGTCAGTTTACAAAAATTTAGTGGTTGCTAAGGGTTAGGGATGGGGTAGGTGTGGCTATAAAGAGAGAGCTCTGTATTCTTGATTGTGGTTGGTGGTAAAAGGAGTCCTCACATATTGCATAAAACTATATATACATGCAGGTGCACACACAAATATACACAGAAATCCATATAAAAATGGCAAAATCTGAATAAGTTCTGTGGATTGTACCAATGTCAATTTCCTGGTTTTAATATTACAGGTGAAGGGCAATAGGGGAACCTCCCTGTATTATTTTCTTAAGTTTAAAACTTTTTCAATTAAAAAAAAAATTCAGTGACTTAGTTTTTTTAAGGGAAAAGTTGGTGGGGATACTTAGGTGTTCATGCTGCCAAAAATAATTCCTCTCCTTAATTTTGTCTTTGAGGGTTTGTGATTTGTTTTCAGTTCCTACAAGTTGTCATTTTGGTGTGGTTCTAGGAGGTAGGTGGTATAAAGACATGATCAATACATTATGTTTCTAAGAGCAATTGTTTAATAGTTTTAAGCAGGATTGTGACATTTGCATAGATCAGTGGTTGGCATACTGTGGCTCATGAACCACATGCTGCTCTTTGGCCCCTTGGGTGTGCTTCTTCCACAAAATACCACGGCGTGGGCGAGTCTATTTTGAAAAAGTGGCGTTAGAAGAAGTTTAAGTTTAAAAAATTTGGCTCTCAAAAGAAATTTCAATCGTACTGTCGATATTTAGCACTGTTGAGTTTGCCGACCACTGGCTTAGATCATTCTGATGGTTCCCTTGAGGATAGATAGGAGGGAAGGCAAGACCAGAAACAGAAAGATACTGTATTTCATTGTACACTTTTTTTTTTCTTCATTTCATTTTAACATCTAAATTAGGTTGTTTCGATATAACTGTGAGTGTCTGCGGCTTGGAAGAAAATTCAGAGACAGAAGAGGGACACTTTGAAGAAATGCTGTCTCACCAAAGTTCTTGATGACTGACTACGTTGTGTGGAAAATTATGAACATCTAAGACTAAGTCAAAACAATGAATCATAAGGGCCTCTGAATATGACGTTTTAGGAATACTGTTATCATGTTATTCTTCCGTATTTTCATTTTTTACTAATACATATGCACCATAGTAAAATATGATAAAAAAATCTCTAAATCTATACTTTTAATAAATATAAAATCAGTTCTTCTGATAAGAAAGCATCATGTCTTTGCTATCTCCCCCCCCCCCCCCCCCAGGGAGTTAAAATAATGAGTTTTACAACGGATAAGAACAATGAGACCAGGGGAGAGAATTCTTGAAATACTAACGAGGAAAAATCGACACAACTTGTTGAATTAGTAGAGGAGGGGTAAAGATGAGCGGGGAGGAATTCCAGGATGGTTTCCATTTGGGCCCGCCTAGTGGCAAAGGTGCCTGGAAGGCGCAGCAGGAGCGTGTTTGGCAGGAAGTTCAGTGTAGGATGCTCTGCGTGAGGAGCTGGTGGGCAGTGGATGAACGGCGCCTTCGGATCTGCTTTGGTGGGACACACCCCGCGCCCGCTACTTGGGCCGAGAGCCTGCCGCTCTGTCTGGATAGACTTTGCCAACTCGGAGTTGTTGGTCAGAGGGGGGCAGGTGGGTGGAACGCCGCCAGTCCGGGAGCCTGGGCTGCGCGTAGACTGACAAGCCACCGGCTTCCCCGGGACCCCAGAGCTCCGGACGCTAGCGGCCGGCACACTCGGGCCGCTGCCGGCGGAAGAGGCGCGATTGGCTGGAGCGCTGGCGGGCCTTGGGCGGGGCTTCAGAAGCTGTTCCGCGATTGGCTGGGAGGCACCAAAAGAGGTTTAACTCAAAATGTTGGAGTTGCCCCTCCAGAGGCGTGTTTCCAGAACCCCCTGTCGCTTAGTTACAGATTAGCCAACTATAGTTCCATTTGTCAGTGAATGAGAAAACCGCTCCTTTCCGTGAGAGGAGAGCTTTGATTGGCCAATTTGTTCGGGCGTCCTATGTGGACTGCGTCTGGCCTGGGCGTGGATTGGGCCGCGGGATTGTCAATCTTACTGGGAGGCGTGGCCGGCACTAATAAAGACCGGGACCGAACTGCAGCTGCAGCAAGTTTCATCGCAGCTAGAGCTCCGGGTGGTCAACTAGACGTGCAGCTCGGCAGTTCCGTGGACTTCAGCCGCAGCGTTCCCCTCGCCGCAGCCTCTGGAGAGGAGACTGATCCTCACTTCTCAGAGAAATGTGAGTTGACTCTGCTGTGGGAGGGCTCGACCCTCCTTGCCAACTCTCATTGCCAGCCTCAGACTCTGCGGGATGGAAAATGGCGCATTGCAGCAGCTGCAGCGACTCGGGCAACTACCACCGGGCGCAGCTCCCAGACCTGAGCTCCCCCCAGGGAGGAGGGCAGTACCCCACTCTTGCACCAGCCACAGCCAGCACCTCATGGGCGGGGCAGGGGCGCAGGGGTCCTACATTCATTGCACCCATTCTCGCCGAAGGAAGGAGCGCCTCATGCAGGTTTCGGTTTAGCAGAGCCCAGGAGGGCGAAGGTGGGGGGCATAGAGTTATCGGGTAGGGGTCTGAACGAATCTGTACTTGGTTCCTCTGGAAAGACAGTCATAGGTGCATCTTCTAGTTAGTAATTTGTGTATATCCCTCACCCCAACAGTTACGTGTTGCCTCCCTCCCACT